TGTCCTGCCGGAATCCTGTGGGAATCCCGTGACCCACAGGACTCCTGAAAAAATGTCATCCTCTACTTAGTCGATGTAATGTTTGTTTTTGTTACTCTGCAATGGACGACCCTCTCCCTTCATGACCGTGCCCTGAATAAACTGAGTATGAAAAAGGACTGCATGAACCAGAAGCAGTGGTCCATGTCTAATGTATACGTCTGCACCAATAAAAGCTTTCAACTTTAACCTTTAAAAATCAGCTCATAACTTTGACGGATATATGGGGCTTTGTTTCCATCAACTCAGATTTTGTAAATTCCCATTTTGAAGTCTGTAATATGTATAGAGTCATAGAGTATATGTATTAGAATCAAATATAATTTGCATTTAAGTAACAAGCATTAAGGGGGTACTAAAAGGTACCACAATAATAAATCATATTTCTTCCTTTTACTGCTTTTTAGAAATTCTCTATTGGCCTCCATGACGGTGTTTGGGTGCAAGTTTTACCGTTACTTTGCCTGTCTGCGTGTGTTTCCGTTTACACGTGCTGGTTTGCTTCCTCCGGAGCCATAATTCTCCATCCGTGTGTCATTTTGTGAACAGTTTTGGCTTTGATCTGAATCCGAGCCCTTCCAGCTTATCATGACTTTGTGTTGCCTCTGTGTGGTGGAAGCTGGAGGGGGGGTAGAGTGGGGACGAAGAGAGAAAGCGTGCAATATTTTTAGCTCCACAGCCCCACATCCGAGTGAGTTTAATCAAGTGTATGCTCACGTGTGTGTGTGCGTAAAATGTTGGGATTAGTGTCTCCAGCATCTTGCTCAGGGGAAGGTGACATGCTGTCCGAATGTGCTTCTTCTGTCGCATTGGCATGGATGGTATAAAAACTGTGGACTTAGCAGGAGTTTGGGGGCAAGGAGGGTGCGGGAAAAGAGCAAGAGACGTCCTGACAGACACACAAAGCGAGGCAGAGAGGGTAGAGGGGAGGGAGGGTTGAAGGGAAAGCTCTGTAGGAGAGAGGAAGGGATGAATAAGCAATCCTCCTCTTCTACTTCAGGCACTTGCATCTCGCACAGAAAGCTGCATGTTTCCTCTCCCTTCATGGTCTTTATGTTTCTCATTACTCTTTACATATTTCTTCCTTTGTCTCAGTGTCCCTGTCCTCCTGCTGTCCAGCATCCTTGCCTTTAAGTCGTCCCTGTCCTGCACAATCCTTCGTCTTTCCCGTCTGCTCCTCTCCTCTTCCCAAATGTCCTTTTATATCAGTCAGTAACCCACAGAACCTGTTCCCTTCTTAATCAACCCTGTTCCAATGCATGTCATGCATACACACATGCACGTACGTGCGCTTACGTACAGGTACAGTCGCACGGTCAGAGAGAAAACATAAAACAAGAGGATTTTTTTATATTTTTGAGGGCATTTGTTGTTTTGTTGCCATGGGTAACTCAGTAAAGTCGCTTAAATCTTTCACCAAGAAGGTAAGCTGCGTTTGGAGGTTCCCCCCTGTCTGTTGTTGTCCCGTTGTTCCTGACTCCCCCTGACCTTCAGTGCATGCTAATGTCATGGTGTGACCCCTAACTGAACCAGTTGCAATAATTAAAAAAAAATCTGTCCTGACCCATCCCAACGTTCTGTTTGACATTTCACTGCCAGGCTGCGATTAATATTTTTGTATGTATTGACTGAGAGTTGTGATCATTGTCAAAGAAAAGCACATGGAAATCATCACTTGCATGAAAACCATGAACGGATTTGGCTAGCTAGATTAAATTTTCTTTTAAAGAACTTGTGAATGTGAACAAACCCTTGATTGATCCTGACCGGTCATTTGATGGAAGACTTTGTGCCATAACCAGTTCCAAACCTGTTACCTTTAGATATAACTATTTATTGTCTCTGAAACAACTTTATAAACCCATGTATAAAATGTGCTGCAGACTCTCAGCGGTCTAACAGCTGCACATCCTTATAGAAGAACAATATGACAAGCTGTTGATGCCATCTGTTCTAAACGGGTTGGAAGGCTGCAGAACTTCTTGCTCGACTTCAGTCATCCTCACTCTTAGATTCCTCTTCCCTGCTGTGTGTATTTTACGTTATATAACTAGCACGAGTACTTTTCTGGCATCGTGTAGCTGCAGACAGCGCTGCTCCATGCATCACTTGCTCAGATTTGCCCAGTGGGCATCAACCCCTGCGATGAGATCTGCAGGAATGTTCAAAGTGGCTTTAGGACAAGCAGATGGAGAGTGAAGGTCATTTGTAGAACATATAATACAGAGTGTAACTGCGTAAAGCATGAGCGTGCATAGAAATCTTTTACTATTGTGTGTTTTCCATTGTGCTAAAGCTTTGAAAAATGGCTGCGCTCATGTCAGAAAGATTTAGAGCAGCAGTTAAATGGATTCTTGGTGATTTGCTGAGATGCTGTCTTCTTCTATTTATTTCACGGAAAGTGGATGAGCGTCTCAGTTACTGAAGAAATCAACGATTAGTGTTTAAAAAAACATTGAGAGAAGTGGAAATACATCTTTATCATTACTTCATCTGTCTGACAAAAAAAAAGGATTATTTTGCTGATTGTGGCTTATGAGATGAGAGTTTGATTGTAATTGACCTTATTTAGAAGAAGCTCCTGCTCTGTCTGGCTCTGAATGTTTTTAATTAACCTGTTGTTCTTCCAGTAATTGAGTCAGCGGCTGTGAGGACAACATTTGGACCTTGGTTGATTGACCTAATTGGCAATTATAATTTCATGGCAGGCTGAATCTTTGCTTTGCTGTTAGCTTTTGAAATGTTGCCACAAAACACAACAAATCCAATTAAATATTATAGAACATAGAAAGCATTCCTTGAAGAGAGGCATATGGGCAGCTACGATGTCATTTTGGCTGAATACCTTTAAAAATCACATGGCTGACACCAACCGTTAAAGTTTTAATCAGAAGATTGCCAAAGTTTTAAACAAAAATACTATGAAATATGTAATCCTTCAAGTATTTGTTAGAAATAATGCTCAACTACTTCCACACCAAGTGTTAACTCATTACTTGTAAAACTGACTAAGTTCTAGTAATTTTTGTGTTTGCTAAGTTCAGTTCGCTATGGTGGCCATCTTTAATTGGGTTTACTCCAAGAGGTATCCAATTGTAGATGTGCACTTATTGATTACGTTCTGGGAGATTCAGTAAAATTTGTCCAGAGGTTTATGAGTTATTTTGCTAATAAACAGAGTCGACGCCAATAGTTAATGGATATTTTTAAAAACGTATCTCGTACAGTATGTGATGGGAGTGACTCTCAGCCACATTCACATCAAACGTCAGGTGCTCTGTATAATTGGCTGATTTAAAGCCATTTTTGTGTTAGCTGAAGTTAAAAAGGCAAACTAAAAAGGCAGCCAGCTCTAACACATTTGCACCAAATCATCAGGTTGACTTTATTTATTTATTTTGCCATTAGGAAAATCTTATAATTTACAAAAAATGGGACTTTTCTGGGTTGCTCTATTTCATTGAAATGACACAAAAGTCATCAGGGCATCAAATCCATGTTCCCCGAGTGTTACAGTGGTAATTATTCAGTGTAGCACAATAAAAGTAGATTAGGTCTGAGCACAGTAAGTTGGGGTTTATGTGCGCTGCGAGCAGTTTGAGTTGTCCTGATATAGTCATTGTGTTTACAACGTTAGCAATTGAACAATTTTTTCTCAGGGTAAGGAAATACGAATATGTCTGAAAAGTGGGGCTTTGCTTTATTAGGAGGTGATTAGGCAGGATGGAGTCACAGATGACAACAACTGTTGTGTTGTATTGTAACACACAGAGTGTTTCTTCTGACTGGGCACCGTCATCCATCACGACTAACATCGTTCACGCCCCCCCCCCCCCCCCAACCACCCCACCTTTCCTGCGCACGGGCTCCTTGTTGTCATCATTGCAAACTAGTCGCACAGTTTCACCCCCCACCTTGTCTTTGCCTCTCCTATCTGCGCCCCTCTCCTCACCGCGTTGATGCTGCTCCAGGACAAGAAGAAGAACTACAAAGCAGTGCAGTCCTGTGAGGAGGGGGGATCTGGGGGGGCCTATCTTGAGCCACTAGTAGCCCTGGCCCAGAACGGAGTCAACATGCACAACGTACTGGGGCCTGCGTGCATCTTTCTACGCAAGGGCTTCGCTGAGAACCGGCAGGCTGTACGTAAGTCCAGAACATATGATGTGCATGCAAGAAACATCAGCGTAGTTTAGGATTAATGAGCAAAACCAACCACTTTATTCGTTGTAAAGTCACAACAGACAGCGGTGATGCTGAGAGGAGGCTGAGGACTTGAAATCCTGAAGAACTGAAGGGGTGTTCCTGGTTGCTTCAATGCCAGACAGAAGAGTGTGTCTGCTGTGTGGTTTATATTTATATTTACACCGGAGGCTGGATGTGATGCTCAAAAACATGGTGGCCATTTGTAGCACAATGGAGGGTTATGATGAGATTATTTCTCCTCATTTACAAAGTAGGACAACAAAAAGAGTGTTTTTATATATAATAAAGGTCTTTAAACATTATGTAGGAGATGAAATCTTGGATGATGCTCCTTGAAAGAAAACATGGAATGAAAATTAAACTGAACGGGACAATAATTTGTTTTTCAACCCAATAATAAATGTATTTAAATCAACCTTAAATAACATCCAACATTAATTTCTCGCACATTAGAGATATGTTCAGGAAAAACTATTGTTCATTTACGACAAATTTAATAATTCTCTGTGGTTTTATTGTTTTCACGTTGTTACACATGCCACATTTTGACAGATTGCCAGTGTTTTCATCAGTTTGCCATGTCTTGGAAGAGCTCTTCCTGTCAAGTTGGAACAAAACCAGACAACTCTTGGCTTATGTCTCAAATTGCCTTTTTTCATCACAGTGACATGCTGAGCGAGGAACAATGGGTATACTGGCATGAGTTTTCACATGTCAGCAATGTTTGGATCTTAACCTTGTACTGTTCTCCCCCACAGGACCGAGAGCTGAGGCCAGAAGAAATGGATGGTATGTGAGGCTACATTTATCAAAATAACAAGTTCAAATGTGCCATTTTCAAAATTCATCCAGTTTTTATCTTTGTTTTTTTCACAGAGCTACGTGAGGCATTTAAGGAGTTCGACAAAGATAAAGATGGATTTATTGGCTGTAAAGACCTGGGGAACTGCATGAGGACAATGGGCTACATGCCAACAGAGATGGAGCTGATCGAGCTGAGCCAACAGATCAACATGAATTGTAACTGCATCTGTCCATGTTTGTTTTGGTCCATGTATCTTTTGTCTTTTACTTTTCATTGACCAGATGAAGTTTAGTGCACACAAAGTCAGAAGATCCACACATTACCAGGGTTATTTGGATCTTGTGAAGTGGGCTCAAACAATCAATATCTTACCTGTTGTAGATAGATTTCTGAACAGCTTAAGTTGGAATAAATAAAAGTTTTATCTGGATCGACAAATTAACCACTACTCAGACCATCCATCCATCATCCATCCATCCATCATCCATCCATTCAACATCCATCCATCCATTGTCCATCCATCCATCCATCAATCCATCCATCATCTATCAATCAATCCATCCATCTATCCATCCATTATCCATCATTCATCCATCCATAATCCAACTATACATCCATCCATCATCCATTCATTGATCCATTCATCCATCCATCCATCCATTCATCCATCCACCCATCATCTATCCATCCATACATCAATGCATCCATATTCTATCATCAGTCAATCCATCCATCCATCCATCCATCCATCATCCATCATCCATCTATACATCCATATGTACATACATACATACATACATACATACATACATACATACATACATACATACATACATACATACATACATACATACATACATACATACATACATACATACATACGTACATACATACATTAATCATCATTATCCATCCATCCATCATCCATCATCCATCTATACATCCATCCATCATACATTCATCCATCCATTCATCATTCATCCATCCATACTCCATTACCTATCCATCCATGTAGCCATCCGTCCATCATTCATCTATAAATCCATCCATCCATCATCCATTCATCCGTCCATCATCTATCATCATCCATCCCACCATCATCCATCCATCATCTATCTATCTTTCTATCATCCATCCATTCATCCATCATCCACCCATCATCCACCCATCCAAGACACAGCAATCCACTTTTGTTTTGGCCTTGCTCAAACTAGCTGTTAGTTTTTTAATCAGATATATACTCTAATTTTCCAAGGTTATGTCATCTGAAGAGCTATTGATAGCAGGCAACATTTTGTTTATTACATTTTCCATAAAAAAAACTCACTTCAGAATATCTGAGCTATCTCTTTACCAGACAATTCCCTCGTTTTTAAAAGTCAGTCTTGCTATTAAAGACATAACTAATTAATGAAGAAGAAAAAAAACAGTTTGTTTTTTAATGACCCATTGAGGTTAAAATGTTTTTATATCTGTGTAACAGTGGGAGGACATGTTGACTTTGAAGATTTTGTTGAACTTATGGGGCCTAAACTTCTGGCAGAAACAGCAGACATGATAGGAGTGAAGGAACTCAGAGATGCTTTCAAGGAGGTGAGGAAATTACAGCAGAAAAGTTTGTTTTATGTAAAATTCAAGTGAGAGTTATCACAATAATTCTCATTATACTATTACTATTATTGAACTAGCATGGATGTGTGTTTACTGTGTGAACACTGAGGTAGCTCTACAAAGTTGTATGTCTGCTTGATTTAAAGCTTTGCTGGTCTGATTTTCAGTTTGACACAAACGGTGATGGCCAGATCAGCACAGCTGAGCTCAGGGAAGCGATGAAAAAACTACTAGGACAGCAGGTACAGACCCCCATCAATCAGTGTCTGCCTGATTTCTGTCCCACTTCCTGATTTAATTTGAGTTTGTGCCACGGACGTTCACACCTTTCCCTTGCCTTGATGTTTTTGCAGGTTGGACATAGAGATCTGGAGGAAATTCTTCGAGACATCGACCTCAACGGAGATGGGCATGTAGACTTTGAAGGTACCGCAGTGTGTACTCAACACAACATACCCTTGATCCTTTAGCGCCATTCCTGTTAAATTTTAGTGCATGAGTGTTTATCCTTCAAAGACACATTTACATTTATTTAAATCTCAGTATGTGTTTGTCTCATATCCCATGCAGTGTTGATGCTGAGGTGGGGAGACGAACAAACGTCTGTCAGATTATCTCTCTGCTGAGAGATTTTCTCACCTCACTCATTACCCACTGAGAAAAAGATGCACAGAGGCTGAAAGGGATAAAAAATATAGGCGTTGCGTTTTTCTTGTTGGACTTTCAAAAATGTAATTTCTTGTTTTGTTATGCTCTGAGTTCATATAAGTGGCAGAAAAAGAGTCACTGATAATCAAATGATGTCCATTCACTGGTAAAATATGACCAGTCTGTTGGTTAAAAAGCTGACTTTATTTATCCTTTGTGGCTTACTGACTGTATCACTGCTGAGATATGAGGTCCAGTTGTGTAACAATTCTTCTTTAGGAATAGTTAGTCAATTTTACAGTTTTTAAACTAAAATCTGATGTGGTAGTAGCTGAGAGTCATTCACAATAAATACATATTCATTCAACCTTTATTTAGACAGGTTAATCCCATCGAGCCTCGAGGACTCATTTACAAAAGAGACCTGATTTCAACAAAGAATGATGACAAGAATGGATGACAGCGACAACAATAGACAATCATAAAAGAGGCGTACAGATTTTACAAATTAAAATAAGATGGCAAAAACAGTAGCCAAAACAGCTAGATTATAAGGCGAATGTAGCAAACTTAAAACAGGAACATATACGGTGGCCCTGAGGTGTAAATGAACAACATTTCAAAAAACAAAATTAAATTTGAAAAATAAACACAACAAAAGCACAACAACATTTGAAAAAAACTGAATTACATTAAGGGCAGCACGGTGGTGCAACGGGTAGAGCTGCTGCCTCTCATCGAGCAGGTCCCTGGTTCCCTTTTTGGGTGGAGTTTGCATGTTCTCTCTGTGCATGCGTGGGTTTTCTCCGGGTACTCCGGTTTTCTCCCACAGACCAAAAACATGCATGTTAGGCTGACTGGTAACTCTAAATTGTCCCTAGGTGTGAGAGAGAGAGTGAATGGTTGTTTGTCTCATTTGTCTCTATGTGTCCCTGTGATGGACTTGCGACCCGTCCAGGGTGTACCCTGCACCTCGCACAATGATTGCTGGACATGGGCACCGGCGATCCCCATGACCAAAATGGAAGAAGCGGGTAAAAGATAATGGATGGATGGATGGAATTACATTAAGCCAAAGCAGAAGTGGTGTTTTTTTTCTTTTTCTTTAATAACAACATAGAACAACAGAACAAAGTACAGTAACAAGATACAAATGCAAACTCTCGTGAAGGATGTGGGGTCCGTCAACCATTTGTTCAGTTGCTTTTTAATTGAGAATACCCCCCACCCCCCAAAAAAAACACAACTTATGGTTTAGCTTAATGTAATTCTGTTTTTTCAAACATTATTCTGTTTTTTCAAATGTGATTCTGTTTTTTTGTTTGTTTGTTTTTTTCAAATGTAAATCTGTATTTTCAAATGTGATACTGTTTTTTTTTTCATACCAGTGGAGGTTTGGAAATGTCTTGGAGAGATGGCAGTGAGGTTTTTGACTCAAATATTCAATGGCATATATGAAGGTGAGAAAATGCCTCAGGAATGAAGAAGTGTGCTGGTGCCCATTTTTAAGAACAAGGTTGATGTACAGAGTTGCAGCAACTACAGGGGAATTAAGTTGATGAGCCACACGATGAAGATCTGGGAGAGAGTTGTGGAAGCAAGACTTAGACGAGAGGTGACTATCTGTGAGCAGCAGTATGGTTTCATGCTGAGAAAGAGCACCACAGATGCCGTCTTTGCTTTGAGGATGTTGATGGAGAAGTACAGAGAGGGTCAGAAAGAACTCCATTGTGTCTTTGTGGATTTAGAAAAAGCATATGACATGGTGCTGAGGGAGGAGGTGTGGTATTGTATGAGGAAATCTGGAGTGGCAGAAAAGTATGTTAGACTGGTACAGGACATGTATGAGGACAGCAGGACAGTGGTGAGATGTGCTGTAGGAGTGACGGATAGCTTTAAGGTGGAGGTGGGAGTGCATCAATGATCTGCTCTGAGCTCCTTCTTGTTTGCTCTGGTGATGGACCGACTAACGGATGAGGTCAGGCAGGAATCCCCATGGACGATGATGTTTGCAGATGACATTGTGATCGGTGGTGAGAACAGGGAACAGGTGGAAGAGAACTTGGAGATGTGGGGGTATGCACTTGAAAGAAGAGGAATGAAAGTCAGCTGTAGTAAGACAGAGTACATGTGTGTAAATGAGAGGGAGGCCGGTGGAACAGTGAGGCTACAAGGAGCAGAGGTCACAAAGGTGCAGGACTTCAAGTACTTAGGGTCCACTGTCCAGGGAAATGGGGAATGTGAAGAAGTGAAAAAGAGAGTCCAGGCAGGATGGAGTGGATGGAGAAAAGTTTCAGGAGTGATTTGTGACAAAAGGGTGTCAGCAAAGGTCAAAGGAAAAGTTTACAAGACAGTGGTGAGACCAGCTATGTTGTATGGTCTGGAGACAGAGACATGGACAAAAAGACAGGAGAAAGAACTGGAAGTGTCAGAAATGAAGATGCTGAGGTTCTCTTTAGGAGTGACAAGGATAAGATTAGGAATGAGATCATCAGAGGTACAGCACAGGTTGAATAACTGGGAGATAAAGTTAGAGAGACCAGACTGTGATGGTTTGAACATGTCAAGAGGAGGGACAGTGGGTATACTGGTAGAAGGATGCTAGAAATGCAGCTGCCAGGAAAAAGACAAAGAGGAGATATCTGGATGCAGTTAGAGAGGACATGAAGGTAGTTGGAGTGAGGACAGAGGATGCAGAGGACAGAGTGAGATGGAGGAGGATGACTCGCTGTGGCGACCCCTGAAGAGGGAAAAGCCGAAAGAAGAAGATTCCGTTTTTTTTTTTTTTTTCCAAATGTGATTCTGGCCGATTCTGTTTTGGTTTAATGTAATTCAATTTTTTTCAAATGTTGTGTTTTTGTTGTGTTTTTTTTCGAATTTCATTCTTTGAAATGTAATTCCATTTTTTTCAAATGTTCATTTACACCTCAGGGCCACCGTATACCTCCAGTATAAGATAACTAGTCCAAAGCTCTGTCATGAAAGGAGGCGAGTGATACCATCCCTTGAAGTAAAGCTTGGCTGCAGATTTCAACTAAAGCTGCAGACTAAATGAATAAACTTTTATAAACATCGATTGCTTTAATTCACAGAATTTGTGCGGATGATGTCTCGATGAGCTCCCGCTGAGAGGTCAGACATGCCTTCTTGGAAAACAAAAAAACCCAGCCGAGGACAAACGACGGATCTTCTTGAAGTGTGCATAAACGAGACGGAGAAAACATATCAACCTTGAGCTGAAACTGCCTCGCTGAAGCACAGCTGACGACAACTGCCTGGAGCATCACTGTTAGCAACAAGCTGCTGCTGCTCCTCTGAGCAGAAACTAAACCAACGGCTGCACTCGTGACTTTTGACAAGAGCATTTTAAAACCATATTTTTGATTAATAAGTAGAGCGTTTCTACGTGTTTGCTCTGTGATTAACAGGTGATATTCTGTTTGAGCTTAATGTGCTCAACTCTTGTTGTTAACTGTAGCAAGTAGGAAGATATATTTTAAAAGCTACAAATTCTGCTTCAGTGCAGAGGGTTCTAATAAGCACAAAAAAACTGGCAATACTGAAATATTTTGTTCCGTCTGGTCAAATCATTTATGTGTGGGTGTATTTTGTGGCTGTTGTTTCTCTACATCTTATGCTGTTGATGTGAAATGTCACTGAAGATAAATAAATCTGGTTAATTATGTGTAATTTAATGTAGCGCTGATTTGTTTCCTCTTATTTTAAAACCTATCTGCCTCCCTTTCTTTGACAGAAGTGTAATTTCCAATGTGCAAACCAGACTTTTTCAACTGCAAACATGATGTAAATAGGGTTTTGCTGAACTTTAATACTGTGATATGCCTTTTATTTACATGTACGTTTGACTAATTTAGATTTTTACTCTGCGTGATTTAGCTGAGTGTTATAATAATAAAACAAAATGTGATTCTGACTGCTTTGATTTGAACAGGACAGCTTTAATAGCAGATTTACTGATTTAAAAAAAAATCAATTTAAAGGGGAAACTTTTTATTTTGTTCGCAAAAGTTCAGCTTTAATACCTCAAAGTGAATTAAATAATCGATACATCCTGCAAAGTTTTAATCCTAGTTTTCTTATCTTCATCAATAAGTGTAAAAAAAGCAATTTAAGCTTCTTTATTAAAAGCCAAAGAAAGTTTACAAAATCCCATGTTGGATTGTTTTAGTTTAAAAAGTTTTGTTGTTAGACTGTTCAAGAATGGACGCGAGTCCAGAGAAATATCAAAAAGAGAGATCTTACTTCATAACTTCATGTGTCTTATCTGTGTTAAACTATGCATGCCAGAAAACTACTGCAATTTGTAGCTGAATATTAAAAAAATAAATCTACTTCAACTTCATAATACTGTTTGTGTGTTTTTGTCCCAAAACCGTGGAGCTGGTGGCAGCACCAACATTTTGACGTTCAAGTTTACACCTGAAAATAATGTTTACTCAGTTTAAATTTAGAAATAAGTTTTCAATTAAAAAGTAACCAACAAATGCCATAACTTTACAGGCCATTAAAACACTCATCTTTAAACGCATTAGTTTGTAAATATTGGAAACATTTAGTTTGAAAGTTGTCTTTAAAAAATAAAAATAATCAATTAAGTTTATGCTTTCCTAAAATATTGCATTTTTATTCCATTTTTATAAAGTTTTCAAATAAAAATATTACTCTATGACAATTGATTAAAAAAATCAAACTAACAGTTGAAGAATAAATCATGTATTTGCAATATTTTGGGCTTTTGACATCTATTAAAGCTGATGTGTAGCTGTCACTTTTACCAAATACTGTCAGTTTCTGAAGGTTTGGACTGAGGAATGAAGATTAAACACAAGGAGCTCAAAAACAAAATAATTTTATTATAAAACAAAGCAAAAAGGCTGGCATGGAAGCAAACTCATTCACACGTAAAAAGGAGGCTCACTAAGAGCACAATGCCGAACAACCTCAAATGAAAATGGAGGGAAACACAAATTAAATAAGCCGGGGCTGAGGAGGAGAAGTGGCTGCAGCTGTGACCGACAGGTGAGCAGGTGAGCAGGTTGAAGTGGGCGTGGCTGGACTGGCTGAGGAAGCAGACAACTAACGGAGAAGTGAGTTGTGGCACAGAGGAACTGATAAAATGAAAACAACACAAGAAGTTTTTCACTTCTTACCACTCCCATTAAATATGATGTAACTTTAAATGTATAAGAAACTCAATATGGAGGACCACTAATGTACCATGTGCAAAATATATCTGATGCAAATGATGCATTGCTCTACAATAATAGATACCTTCTCTTTGGGTTGTGTGTGAGTCTGCAGGAGGTGAAAGGTTAAAGCCCTAACATCTTTGCATATCAGAAGGAACGTTATTAATTTGCAAATGTCTTTCCGATCAGTCGATCAGTCTGATTTGTGGCCTGTTTCTTGCAGAACAAGTCAAATACTGAGAATTTGAAGCTCAGATTAGGCTACAATAACCTTCTCAGCTGCAAAACACATGCTTTTCCAAACCTTCTCTGCAGCGGGGCGGTGTTCTCCGGGGAACTTGTTGCCTCATTTTATTGCTTTGATCATTTCCGAGCCTGCGTTGCACACTTTCTCTTTAATTCTTCACCGTTTGCTCTATTTTAGAGGCTTGCAGAAAACACTGCTGCTAATGCACATTTGATCTATTTTCCTGTGAAAAAAGCTTTGGTTGTCCTTAAAGCAGCAAACCCAGGATTTTCACAGATGTGTCATCTGTTTGAGTTCAGACCCAGAGTTTGGCAAGGTCAACATCTTCTTCTGTTGTAAAGGAGCAATGAGCATTGTGGATGATAAGGTGACCAGGAAAGATAGGATTATCTGCAACAGCTTCTGTCACATTGGTCTAAAACAGTATGGTGTCCTGCTGCTTCTCAGGTTAGAGTAGCACACAGGTTTAGTGAAAGAGTCACATTTCAGTCTATTATTATTCATTCTTTTTGTTTTCTGCAGAGTATATCATTTACAGGCTGTTCCTTGTTTTGAGCTCCTCATCTGGATTTCCATCTAACACAGTGAGTTCCTGCCAGCTCTCATTTTTTTGAACGTGCATAAAAGAGACATCTCGAAGACAACGTTCTAGATCAAACACATCAAGACTGCAGGTACACCCTGCGTGCATCCGTTTTAACCAACTGATTGACGTGACACTATTCCTTCATGTTCGCAGGTTCAGGTCTCACCTGACTGACGAAGTACGTCTGCTGGGTCACTGAATCTGTGCTAGATCTCTCACAGCACTCGTCACTTATCAACAGGAGTGAGTTCATTAATGATGTGCTACAGTGGCAGCTTCCTGAGACACATTAAAGAGCTGTGTAATTTTACTGAATGCACAACTAATGCTAGATATGAGGAAATAATAAGCAGAGCACTCAAAATGAAGTAATTTTCCTCCTTAAAGTGGCAAAAAAATCAAAAATCAAAAATTGCTACTAACAATAGATGCTCAACAATTTTGTTATCTAAAGACTAAAATATATCAAAATGTATTTAAGACACTTTATTGCTTATTTGGCCTCAAGTATCATCTGTTCCTTAAACTTAAACATGCGAGTGTCTTGTGGAAACTGGCTTCATCAGATTTCCAACACTAAACAAGACTAAATTTGGTGTGAAAATTGAAAACCAATAATGTCTGATTGTTAATATTTGTGTTTTGTTTATCTGCAGAGAGAACAAATCAAAGAATGATGATATCACACAACACCAACTTGGCCAATGATCAGCCACATTTGAATAAGAACTTGGGTGTGTGCATATTGTGTGAGAAAGTGGGTTTAGTTTTCCTAATAACTACAAATCAAATAAATCAAAGTGTTTTACTTCAGTTTGGTCGATTTCAAGGAGGCCTGCCTGCTTGAAATGATCCAGACAAGTCCCAGTTAAACTCTCTCTGCTTATGGTTTGAAGGAGTAGAAGTCAAAGACTGACACCTAGTGGTCAAAAGATGATAATGCAGGTTGGCAGTCACGCAGCTTTTGTGTAAAGTTACTATGTTTGGCAATAATATGAACTTCACTCTTAAAAAAACACTGTTTGATTGTTAAATTAGGGTTATAATTTAAAGTTTTTTTTAAATAAATTTTCTCATCTGCAGTTTCAGCCTCAACAATCACATTGCTGATAAAACCTTTCCTGAGTGTCTGTAATAAAATCCAACAATCCAAACTAATCAAATAAAAGATTTCAAAATGCACCAATTAAATTCTATTATCTTATGTCCCCAAAACTCAGTTATGACAATGTATTCCAACAATATATTGTTTAATTTTAACAGGTAATAACTGTTTCTTTTGTGTCTTTTTTTGTTGTTGTTGTTAAAATTACTAAAATGTTATGAAGCTACTAAAGTCAGTCTCGAGCAGGCAAAATGGCTTTTTTTGGGGGGGCGGGGGGGTATTTTAGTAAGTGAGATAATTATAACACTATGATAAAACACTGATTGTCTTGTGTTTACAATAAAATGTTACTGACATTTATTTTACTGAATGGAATTAAATCTTCTAAAATTTGCTGTGTGTTAAGATTCTCACATTATTTCTGCAGCCACTTGTTTTGACAGCCCATCAGTGAGGATGTCCAAGACACGTCGTTTTGAAACCAGCTGCACCGTCTGTCCTGTCGCCACCAGGAGCTTTTGTCCATTTTCCCCCTGGTGATCATTGTTATTGCTTCAGCCTGCAGGATTTCCTCCTCTCTCTGACAGTATGATCCTCATTTTAGAGATACTTTTTGGAACAGCAGGAAGTTTGGCTCAGTGAGTTACCTTCTGAGGATGGTGAGCAGCTAAAGGCCATCATTTGCAGGGTTACCTGTCACCTGTGAATAAATAGGTGAAGCACCAACTTAGGACCTAACAAACAAATATTTCAGGGGCCTTGGATGTTATCAGCCCATTAAATGAGTATTATTAGTTGTTTATGGGTGAATGTGTAGGGGTTTGTGTACTAAAATAATGCATAAATGATATTGGGATAACAGAAACAGCTCTAAAATGGTTTAAATCATATTTATCTGGTAGATTCCACTTTGTAAATATGAATAATGAATCTTCTTCATACACTAAAGTTAGTCATGGAGTTCCTCAGGGCTCAGTGCTTGGACCAATACTCTTTACTTTATATATGCTTCCATTAGGTAAAGTTATTCAATAACATGGGACAAATTTTCATTGTTATGCTGATGATACTCAGATATATTTGTCCATAAAACCCAATGAATCCAATCAGTTACTTAGACTTAAAGACATAAAAACCTGGATGACCTTTAATAGTGTCCTGTTGAACACAGACAAGACTGAGGTTTGGTTTTTGGACCTGAGCATCTTAGGAATACATTTTCAATCTTTCGCCCTCCTTAGATGCCACTAATCTGGTCTCCAGCACTAAAGTTATAAATCTTGGTGTTATTTTTGATCAGGACGTCTTTTATCCCCCACATTAAAAATGTTACTACAATCAGCTTCTTCCACCTGCGTAATATCACTAAAATTAGAAACATCTTATCTAAAAATGATGCAGAAAAACTGGTTCATGCATTTGTCACGTCTAAACTGGACTACTGCAATGGTTTATATCTGGGTGTCCAAATACTTCTTTAAAACGTCTTCAGTTGATCCAAAATGCTGCTACCAGAGTCTTAACTGGAGTTACTGGGAGAGATCATATCTCTCCAGTTTTAGCTTCTCTCCATTGGCTCCCTGTCAAATCCAGAATAGAATTCAAAATCTTAATTCTAACCTACAAAGCTCTCAACAACCTAGCTCCATCTTATATTACAGAACTTGTTGTTCCATATTTTCCAAACAGAGCACTTCGCTCTTAGACTGCAGGTTTACTTGCAGTTCCTAGAGTTTCCAAAAGCAGAATGGGAGGAAGATCTTTCAGTTATCAGGCTCTTCTCTTGTGGAACCAACTTCCAATCTCTGTCCGTGAGGTTGACACATTATCCAATTTTAAAACTGGGCTTAAGACTTTCTTTTTTGATAAATCCTACAGTTAGGGTCGGCTTGGGTTTCCTGAGTTATCCCTTAGTTATGCTGCTATAGGCTTAGACTGCTGGAGGACAAACTGACCACATTTTTTCACTCTGCTACCGTCTTTACTTACTCTGCTCAACCAGTTTTGTATTTGTAATTATTTTTCTATCCTAACATGTGTTTTTGTCTTTCGGGTACACCTGCACCTATATCTGGACCTACCATTCTGTGTTCGCCTGTCTCTCCTTCCTGTCCTCTCAAACTGAACCAGCCAAAGTAGATGGCTGCTCATCCTGAGCCTGGTTCTGCTGGAGGTTTCTTCCTTTTAAAAATGAGTTTTTCCTTTCCACTGTTGCCATTGTGCTTGCTCAGGATGGGAGACTGTGACGAAGTGAAGATTCAACATGTCTGCTGGTTTCCTTAGATAGAGAACTTTACTAATCGGCTTTTCTATGTATGCAAGTGTTCCTGTAAAGTGCCCTGAGACAACTTTAATGTGATTTGGCACTATATAATTAAACTGAATTGAATTAATACAGCAACAATTTTGGAACATAATTCATGAAATATTCAACTATTTCCAGACAAAACAAAATATAACTCTGTAGCTAGCCACAAAAGAAGAACAAATACTTAAAGCAGTGAAGCATTAGTTTGTTGTATAATTTCAAGGTTCTTAACAGGATCTATATCGTTTTCTCTTTCAGGAAGATGTTTTCGAACAGCCAAAGCTGCCTGAGGAGGATTAGTGGATCTGAAAAGGTGAATGAATGACTTATTTAAATGTCATTTATCAGTTAGGGTGTTAAAAGGGAGCGGTAGGGGTAAGCACGGATGCCAACTCACAAAAAGGCTTTACTAGATTTGATCTTAGTTGGAAAACTCAGCATTATTAATCCCTGGAGCGACGATATGGGAGCAGGTTTAGTTGCTGCCCTGTGGGTGTGCGCAAGATGTTATCACTGACAATACGGATTCTGAGCGTGACACCATTACATTCTTTTATTCTCATTCATTTGTGCTCTCCTGTGGGGCGGCGGACTGAAACGAGCCAAAGTGAACGAAGGTAAGAAGAGCAGCAGAAACTTTACAGCGAGTCCACGTGATGAAAACTACGACAGAAATCCATTACAGAGAATCAGCGAAAGGATAACGGAGACGCTGCAACAGTGATGTCAATGTGAAAGTCTCACATTTTATATTATAAACTCTTATAAATCTTAATGAAATAACACAAAGTGAGTTTTTACAAGGCTGACATCCAAAAAGAAGTTAGAGTTGTCTGTGTACAAATATATTCATTCAAAATGTTGTATCTTGTAAAATAAAAATGAAATGTTTTTTTTTTAAAGTTTGATCAATAAATGCCCATAGCTCAGGTATATTTTATTTAGTTTTAAGTCGCAATCTAAAGATGAATTAAAATTTTTCCCTTTAAGTTCACTGTTATTTCTAAATAAATTTCTTCTAAATAAAGTAAAAAATGTTTTAGAACCATCAACACTACAGATATTATATTATTCATTGTTGTTCCATATATGACTTATGGTATAAACCAACACTAAACCGTTGTCTATCATGTTATGAGAATTTAATATAAAGTGGACACCAGAGACACCACTTGTTTATTCAATCAAATATCTTGAAACTAAGGGATCTGGTTCATTTTAAAAAATGATATTGGTTATATGTTTCAAGCTAGAAAGAGATTATTGCCATTTAATTTACAAAAGTTCTTTTTCTTAAGCTCATATGATCGAAATAACAGAATTTCAAAAGTAAAAATGTGCGTACTACTTTAAAACAAATGTGCATTTCGGTGCATGGAGTAAAAATATGGAACAGTTTGGATGAGGAGTTGAATAAAAAAACGCTCTACTATAAACCAATTCAAAACACTTTATATAAAAAAAAGAATGATTAACTCTTATACACGTTTGAGTTGTAAATGGGATGAGTGATATATTGTTTGCAACTTGTTTTAATTTAATGTGCACGGCCATGAATTGAAATTATTAAGAAAGGGGGCAGGCCTATACAAGATTTTCTTCTTCCTGCTCCCTCTTCACTCGTGTAAATAAGTGCTGGCAGAGAATGTGTTTGTAAACTGATGATCAATTTTATTTTATTTTAATCGAGTGAATAAACTGATTGATTGATATTTGATTTTCGATTTTATCTTTGGGGGGGTGGGGTGGCGCAGAGTCTAGAAGGTGCTCAACCTCTGGAACGATAACATCAAAAATGTGGATGGGCAAGGTGAAGCACACACACCTGCCCCCACCCTCACCCGCCCCACCCTGGGCCCCCCGAGCACCCAGATTGCAAAGTCTTCATGCGAGTTAGTTTATTGCGGTGACCCCTGAAGAAGGGAGCAGCCGAAAGAAGAAGAAAAATAGAACAAACCTGTAAACTTGTAATTCAGTATAAAGTGTTAAGTGTTTAATCTCTGTTTTTATTAGTCAAAGCCAGAGTGTTTCAGTGTCCTTTGAGTCAGAATGTCAACCAAGGTCATGAGACATGTCTGTCTTTGAGGACAACGTCTTTGTGTGTTGACACATAAACATACGAGCGTTGCTTCTCTCAGAGAGAGTGGGGGGAGATCTGGACTGGAAAACTGTCCACCGGTGTGAAAGCTTTTCTGATAATCAGACGCCAAGAATAAATCTGCAGCTGACTCTTGGTTTTACATATATGAAGTAAAAATACTCACAGCAGGAGCTACTACGGTTGTACTAGGAGCTGCTAGTACTTTCACGTTTACTAATTGGCTCAAGGCTCTATATTTATCCGTAGCTTTAACCTGAGCTACACGCGGTGTACAACAGTAAAGTCAAACACTGTCCATGAAGATTTTGTTTCTTCATCTTATTTGGTTATAAAGTAACTGATCTGAAAATTGCAGTGATTTTTTTTTTTTTTTTTTTTGTCAAACAGCAGGAGTCACTGTTCAGTAATTCAGAAACGGGGCATTGCCTTGCAGACTGATTAGGGCAGCAATAATCTGAATCCATTCTTCAGATTTAGCTAATCCTAAGAGGCTTCTGAGGTTTGTTAGTGAAGAAAGTAGCAGGTTTGGAAATGCAGCCAGTCCTGTAATTAGATGGAATCCAAGCAAACACACAAGATTGATGTGTATCCAGACTGGAGAAGCTTGTAAAACCCACTTCTCCTTCCCACAAGCACCCCCTTTAGGCTTGGCTCAACACTTATCTAAAAGAAATCTCATGTTTCACACCTGGAAGACAGCACATTTTTTATAAAGGCTGTACTGTCAAAAGGCTCATTTTATTAAAAGAAATAAAGAATGCATGCTATCTGCTTGTATTTTTATTATAAAAACAGTATCTAAAGAAGGACTTGACATTCCTTGAAAGAATACACACGTTTATTTTACGATAAGAAATTGCACAAGTTGGTCCAGCCTTGAAAATAACTTTGTGCACAATCTCAAAGAAGATGTGATTGAATGCGACAAGAGGTCACAATCAGAATATGCGCTTTAACGACTTTCAGCTTCTGCTACAATAAGTTTTAGCTCAATGTCTGCAATTTTGACCGACTCCTATATTTGTGCTGGCTATTGTCGACTAGCTGGGACAGGAATGTTGAATTCTGTTCCAACTCAAGGACCTAAAGATTTATAGATGTGCATCCAAGGATTATCTTTTGAAAGTTTCATTAAAATTCGTCAAGTGGTTCATAAAATATTTTGCTAACAGACAAACAGGGTTTACTTGAAAAGTTGATGTGAACGTTTTAAGCAAATGTCTGTGAGTAGCACTTTGAGCATGTGGTGTGAATGACTCTCAGCTACTACCACAACAAATTTTAGCTCCATATCTGTCCAATTGACTGAATTATAGTCATGTTTGTGTTTATTAAGCTCAGGTGGCTATGGCGGCCATATTTACTTGGATTGTCTCCTAAAGGAAAACAGTTATAGCTATTCATCCAGTGAGCAGTTCATGAAAACTTAATTGAAATCTGTCCAGTTGATAATGAGATATTGTGCTAACAGACAGTCAACGTTCGCTAAAGGGTTGGGGGGGAGGGGGGACGCTGCACAGGTATCAAGGCTCAGGTGTTGCGTCACAGCTGCGGTTTAATTGAGTACTAAAGAACTCACCACGTGCCAAGTTCGTTTCAAGAAGTCATCCAATCACCTGTGAGTCTGTAGAAGAGGGGCGGAGCGGCGTGTCCCCTCAAACCCCGCCCACTTCTGAATGCGAACGCGCCCAATCAGCTGGTTCCTGAAGTCCAAAGACGCTCTTGAGCAAACTTTTCCGGGCTCCTGCTCACGTTGAGCCCCATGGTGTGGGCTCCTCTGTTTATTTGTGTTTAATTAGTTAATGGTTTAGCAGCGTTGACCCGCAGGCGGTGCCGTCATGTCCCTGACGGATCAGCAGTGGTGTCCCACGAGCGTCCAGGTAACGGTGCTCCAAGCCAGAGGCCTCCGGATCAAGGGGAAGAGCGGCACCAACGACGCGTACGCGGTCATGCAAGTGGGCAAGGAGAAGTTCCTGACGACCGTGGTGGAGAAGAGCGTGACTCCGGTGTGGAAGGAGGAGGCCACCTTCGACCTGCCGCAGCTGCTGCAGGGGGGAGGAGGAGGACCTGACCGGAGCACCCTGCACGTCCAAGTCCTGCACCGGGCCCTGGTGGGTCCAGACAAGCTGCTGGGTCAGGCTGTCATCTACCTGTTGCAGCTCAGTGAGGACAAAAGCCGCAACAAGACGGAGTAAGTGGCGCACACTGTAACTCTGAGGAAATGTGGATTTTATTTACCTTTTTTAAATGATAATCACCAGAGGTACTTAATGGAAAAGTTCAAAATAAAATCCTGACTAAATGGAACAAGTTGAGTTACTCCTGTGTTTTTTCAGATAAACTGAATGCAGTTCTGAAATGTGGGTATGCACTCAATGTAAACAAAGCACTTACAGCTAAATCCACCAAAAGCTACAAGAAAATCTGAGTCACATGACTGACAAACATTAGCCTGGAGTTTGTAAAAAAAAAAAAAAAAAGTACTGCAATGTAAAGTTTTAACATTTGCTTTTTCTGTATGTAAACACATGGTTTGCAAAATTTCCTTCTGAATTTTTACTTTAAGGACACATTATTCATTGATATGAGGAAATATTGTGTAGATTATGTTTGTTTTTCTATATTTTCTTTATTTTGGAGCAGATCTTAATGACTTTGCCTTGAATTCCCTAAAAACCCCGAGAACTGAGGGTGCAGCTGGTGCTACAGCACCCGCTAATAGAAGACAAGACGTATCAAGAATAAATGAAAAAGTAAAAACGGATAAAAGTCACTTGTATGCAAGTTTTTATATTTTATTATACTGACCTATTCTTAGGGGAATTGGGTCACTTGACTCACTGTACACCTTGCATGTAAAACTCATGGTTACAAACCTAAGGAGAATCAATCGCTTTAAACTTTAAAAAAATAAAAGCATGAAAATAACATTTTAAAAAGCCTAAATGTATGCTTCAAAATTAAGTTTGTTTTGGATGTCTAAACTTTTTGAACAGTGAGACAGTTTTTTTTTTTACTTATCCTCATTGGGTTTGTTCCCAAATGTGAGCAAAAAAGAAAACAATTTATTTTTTGTTGAGCACTTGAACATATCTTCTCCATCTGTTTTGGCTCTGATTTCCCTGAAGCGTGGTTAGAAAGCAGACTGGAGCTAAACTTGTTTGCTTTTCAACTAAACAGGGGAATCTACTTTTGGTGTGTTGTTCTGTCAGTCATGAGGCACCTCGGAGCAAATCTCCTCAATCCATCTTAAACTCCCAATTAGCTTGTGATCAAATTGTAAAGCTTTTGAATTAACTAACCCATCAACTGTTTTTTAATGAACCGTTCAGAATATAACAATCAATGCTTAACCTTTTTGGAGTCCACACCATTCAAAATGGTCTTTCTTAGCAAAAGTAAAAATGTCTACAACTCTGTTTTACAGAAATTGTGCTAAAGTTTGGTTTATCTGGCAACGGGCGATATGCAATCCTTCAAGAATTGCATTAGATCTTAAGAGTCACTTTGGAAGTGAGAAATGTTTGCAGTGTAAGTTTTCCAAGGGCATGCATTGCTGCACAGGCCCGTTTTTAATGGGTTTGTTTTATAATCGTTGCCCACTTGCACCGGTGCCACTTGAGGGATTTGTTTCCTTGGCAGCAGCCCTCAAGGATACCAAGCAGCGTTGCTTACTCAGACTGATGAATGCAGTAAGTTACGATGTATTTTCTTCCACTCGGCTCCGTCCTGTCCACAGGAGAGAAGTTTCCCAAAATCGAAACCTCTCCAAAAATTAAAATTTGCTCCTAAGCATGAGCTGTCCTTTTGAAGTGACGGGGCGAACAATGATTTATTGTACAAAAGCATTCCTACTCTTATCCAAAGTTTGAAAAAAAAAATATATAATTTTTTATGCGTTTTTATAAAAGGGATCAGGCGCCATTAGTGAGAGTTAAACCAACAGGTTCTGAATTCCTGAAGTATTCATGAAAAATCAGTTTTTGTTTTTTGTACAAAATACTGCAGAGAGACGGCAAAACATGTAATTTATGAGCATTAATTTCTACCTTTTTTCCAGAGCAGCCAGTTTTTTTTATTTATTAGATGTATTTTAATTGATGATCAGTGAAGCACAGTTTTTATGTTAATGGTTAAAATGCAAGCTTAATCCACCCATAATAAAAATAGATTTTTTTAAAATTTCTGAGCATTTAAATCCCTCGATGTGTGATTAGTCTCTAAAAGCAAGTTGCAGCAGGCTGTTTGTTTAAAGACTTCCTTTCTGTTTAATTTCACTCTGTCTTTCATGACAGAGTTTAAATGAAGATCATCTTCATATGAGAAATGATGTATCGTTTTGGCCAATCCTCATAAATGACATTATGAGTGATGCCATGCTGCAAAAGCTTAATGTTTTAACACAAACAAACATTTTCATATGTGAGCCAAAACCTTGCCGCAAGCAACACAAATGTTAAATAAATTAATAAAAAGCATACATATTTTTTATTTTTTTTAACTCGGCATGAACAATATTTTGCAGAAAAAACAAAATTGACTAATTTTGGTGAAAGTGTTCTAAATTACTATAGATCCAAAACATTAAAAAGCTCCATAAACAATGTTTTACCCTTTTTTTTTTTTATTTGTTTGATTTTATCAATTTTATTGCCAAAAGATTGTATTAAACGTAATATTGCTCATTTTGAGATATTTTGTTAAATCTATTTTGCCGTTAAACCTAAAAATTATATATATAAAAAAAAAAGTATCATTAAATTTGCAAAAGGTCAATCTCTTAAGCTTATGGGCCTAAATTATACCTTGTGGGCCACACAGGATCACTCCAAGGGCCACAAATGGCCCCCGGGCCACACTTTTGACATCCATGTTTTAACACATCAAACTCAAAAGTTAATGAGTTGTGGCTGAGATATTTTGCTAACAACCAACCGTTAATGCCAAAGATCTTGGGCAATGTGTGTATGACTCTCAGCTACTACCACAGTTTTAGAACTCCCTTTTTGAAAAAGCTGGAACATGTCGACAGAATGCGTAATCAGATTTCATAAACCTATAATTTATTCCTGTTAATGTAACATTTGGAGTATTAGTAACTGTAACTTGAAATTTGATGGGAACAATTTTTTTTATTTTACTTGAAGTGGAAACATAGTTAAAAAAAACAAATAAAAATCAGAGCACAATCTTTCTCTGTACATTTGCATTTGACCTGAAGCACCATTTCAAACGTCTTTTACTTCATTTTATAAAAGTTGTTGGAGTTTTTCTACTCAATCGTTAAGCTTTGAGTCATATTTATTTATAAGTTCAGAAGCTGCTCATCTGTGTTGGTTTGTCTTTGTACGCTCGACGACTTCAGTCAGCCTGAAACTCCAGTCCAGCTTTGACCTTGCATTCCTGTCAGGTTTTATCAATGAAAAACAAACATTGACGGCAGCAATGAAAGTAACCAAGTTCAGTTCTTGTTTTTCCCTCAGGGTGAAACCACAGTGATTGCCTTGACTCTTAGAAGTACATAAACTATATGCTGCTTTTTTACATGTATTTTTAAAGAAACTTACTCGTGATGCACTTTTGTTCATGCCATCTGCACAGACCTCTGTTCTATTTTAGATATTTAGCTTCATAATGAGTCTAAATAAGTTTGGCTCAAATTAATTTCTGTGCTTTTTAAACCGTGCAACAATCTAAAGCCGCTAAAATCAGTTCAATTGTCATTTATTTGATCATTTATACCTACTACTTTTGTAATGCCAGACTCTCGTTTTGTAAAATAAATAATAAACTTGACGTCAAGACTAAATTTAATGTCCTTGTATCCCTTGAAGGATTCCATGTTCCTGCCACCTTGCATGCCTAAAGTATGAAGCAAAGGTCTTGTTCAATCTGCTGACAACAGGAGCTGCTCAGAATGGACTGAGTTGGAGCCATTTTTGTGTTTGCTGAGGTGATTGGCTGTGGCAGCCATCTTGAATGGAAGTTTTTTTTTTTTTTTTTTACTTTATTGAACATGAAGAACAAAATGACAAATGACAATCTCAAATTTCAATGATTCATATAAACATGTAAAAATATACCTCCTAAGGTCAGCATATGCTTAAACAAATTAACATATTAATCAGCATAAATTTAGGTAATATTATATGTTCTAGGCAATATGTTATATATAATATTATGTACAGAACTATTTATCTAACATTCTACATAATTACTAAAATAATTTGTCAGAGGGTTATATTATCTGAGCGAGGTGATCGGAGAGCTTTTTAACAGTGTCTAACGAAAGTTTTAACATCTGGAGTTCTTGTATGAACACAGACCATAATGGCTTAGACTTGCCCCTTGTGCATTTATGTATGTAGAATTTTAAGATTATGATGATGTTATTAACAAAGTATTCATCTTTTTTTATTTTCAGATGCATATCCATGCAAGATATTCTGAAAGGAGGAGGAGTCTGTTAATGGATTTTATGCTCAGAACCTTGAATGGAGGTGTCTTTTAAAGACATATTAAGCTGTAGATGTGCATTCAGTGATCACTTTCTGAAAGTTACATTGGGCAGCACGGTGGATCAGTTGGTAGGGCTGCTGCCTCTCAGTGAGCAGGTTACCCTTGTTCAAATTCCAGTCCGGGGGCCTTTCTGGGTGGAGTTTGCATGTTCTATTCATGCATTTTCTCCAGGTACTTTGGTTTCCTCCCACATACCAAAAACATGCATGTTAGGCTGATTGGTAACTCTAAATTGTCTCTAGGTGTGAGTGAGAGAGTAAATGGTTGTTCGTCTCGTTTGTCTCTGTGGTGGATTTACAGCCTGTCCAGGGTGTCCCCCACCTCCCCCACAGTGATTGCTGGATATGTGCACCAGTGACACCCGTGACCCAAAAAGGAAGAAGCGGGTAAAAGATAATGGCTGTAAAATTGCATTAAACAATCCATCCATTATCTTTACCTGTTTTTTCTTTTTGTCGCGGGGGTCACTGGTGCCTATTTTGAGATATTTTGCTAACAAATGCACACAAGACGCAGGCAAATACTTCTGCCTTTCTTTACAGTGGGCAATACATATTAGAACAGCTGTCAGTAATTTAGATTCTTGTATTCTTTCTAAATTGAACTGGAACATGAAATTAAAATGTGAACCTTTTTAGTAAAAAAGAACTAGTTGAAGGCGCCAAATTGTATCTCAGTAACTCGAGGTTTAGTCCCTGGTGCGCTCCACACATTGGTGGAGGAGTTCCTCTGGTTATTTAGCACCACTGCTCTCTTTTTAGCCTTTTCTAGCTCACAAGCGCAACATAACTTGACCCGTTTTAGTCTTTGGGACACTATCTCTGTCGAGCTGCGTTTACTTATTCAGCTGTTCTCTCACAGCTGTGCTGTGTGATAAGAGAGGCTCGAGTCACCGTGGCTATTGTTATCAATCACTCAGGAAGGATGTGCGTGGAGACGGTCTGATAAATATCTTCAAAATGTCCAGTCATTCATTATCCCCCTCCAGATTATGTCTGTTCGGCACAACGGCACATTTTCTACCACTCAGGTTAGTCAAAGAGCGACATCCTTCTCCTTATCATGTCGTTGTTAAGTAGTTGAATTCCACCTCGTGCAGTGTTTTGTGCTCCACCCGTCGACGCCCAAGCACTTTTGCAACTTCCCCTCTGATTCAGCTGGAGGAACTTGGTTCTTCTTGTTTCTGCTGAGCATGTCTGCTTTTTCTGCTCCACATTGCGAGCGCTCGCGCAGGGCATCACATTTGAAGTCTGCCATAACTAAACTACCGTTTTTAAACGTTTACCTTCTGCTTTGTTATACTGGAATAGAATGAGAGGCTTTTTGTTGTGGGTTGAACGTTTTGATTCTGTTTTGAAGGACTTGTTCGTCTGGCACGGTGGTGCAGTGGTTTGGGCTGTCACCTCAAAGTAAGAAAGTTGCAGGATCGCAGACCAGCTGGGGTCCTTTCTGTGCAGGGTGTTTCTCCAGGCACTCTGGTTATTCCCTGAAGACCATATACATACCTTTAGCTTAACTGGTATCTATGGTCGTTTGTCTCGTTTGGCCCTGTGAGGGACTGTTGACCTGTCCAGGGTGTACCCCGCCTCTCCCCCAAAGGCCCTGGAAAAAACAAGTGAAGAAAATGTATGAACGTTCTTAGCCAAAAAATGTTTTAGAATCTATTATCATCTTCCTGCATGTCCAAACATTGATTGTTCGTTTTAGGGTCAGGCCTGTGAGATCTGCTCCATTTGAGTTGGCACATAATAAATTATCATATTTAGTTTAAAAAAAAAAAATCTTTGCTGCTGTTTAGTACTTAAAGCTCTTTCACATGGTTAAATGTTTTCCTTCAAAATCTGCCGTCATCTTTCTTCTAAAAGTAAAATGTTTCCTGTTAATGACTGCAGCGGTGCCCCAAACGTAGTTAATCCAACTTGGTGCTTGGTAGGAAGTGCTCTTGTTTTGCAATTCTGCACATTCTTTCCATCAGTTGTGACCAGAAAGCTGTTTTTTTTTTTTTTTGTTTTGTTTTTTTTTCCAGTCCACAGAAGGCTTGACTCAGATATTGTTTTTTTATATTGAATAAATAGGCAAATATATATATATTTTGGGATCAAGGCAAAAGGTCTTAGGTTGTCAATAAAACAATTAGCTGCGTACATTTTTGTTAATGAAGTTTAAAGACGTCGTGAATCATGTATGTTTCTGTAGTAACCTTCAATTATTTACAGTGATGTGGCAGTTTGGGGCTATTTTAAGAGACGTACTGGACTTAAGTACTTGAAAGTCAAGTACACATCTTATTAACATGAAAGTACTCGCAGCTCTACAACTGCAGAGAACACAAACCACCTGGCAACAACTTGTCAATGATTCATTCAGAGTTGATGTAGAAATAAATGTCAGCATATGCAGAGATTAAATACTTCACATTGTGCGTCACTTATTGTATGACCGTAAATGCACTTTCCTTCAAATGGGGCAAAAAGCTTGGGTGGCGGTGTAGACGAGAGCTGCTGCAGAAAATTTCCGCTCAGTTTTCTTCAAATCGTGTCGTTCTCTGTTCAACAGTTTTTAATAACTATGCAGTATTCTGCAAAGTCTTAATTATTCAACTGTTTCTGTTTCTCTACTTAATGAACCAAATAAGTGTACCAAGAAAAAAAAAAAAGTTGATCAAATTGAATTTCTTCTGCCAAGTCTATAATTGATCTTCTAGAGCTGCACCTTAACTTGATTTGAGTCTTTTTGTTTCTTTACTTTATAAAACTTCTGGGAGTAAAATTCTGAGACGAGGTCAGAATATGGTTCTCCTGCAGCCGGACCATTAATTCTTTTAATTTCTGCAGCGTTGAGCAGCTCCCGCAGCTGTTTATTAACTTCATGCTTCAGGACTCATTTAGTCCATCTTTAAAAAGCCTACCGCACTCACAGTAAGTCAGATGAATAAACTTATTCACATTTTGATACATGTTTTGAAAGTTCGAGTTTTGGCGTAGCTCACTTTTTATGCATGAGATTGAGGTGTAACACTTTCTGCTCTAAATTGGTGTAAAATGGAAGAAAATGCACTAATCCTGATTTTTATATATCAAAAAAAGTTTCTGCAATTAAATGCAGCAGAAAATTATTAAATTTGTAGGAATGAATGCATAAGAAAAATCTACATTACCATGATAAACGTGCTGAGCAGTGTTTAGTTAAAAGAGCTTTCATTGGGTAACCAATTTCTACTAGAGACTATTTATTTATGTAGTCGAGGCCTGAAGTTGCAGATCATCTCTTTCATCAGCGAGTGGGAGTCAGGGGAGCTGACGACGCTGGACAGGACTGCAGATTCCAGGAAAACGCAGCTTCCCTCCTCCAATTTGTTTGTGCCACACATCTGAGGCATTCCTAGGGGTGGGTGTGAATCTCAACTTCTCTACAGGATGATTGGGGGAGGTGGTGGGTTGGGGGTGGGGGGGCTGCACTCAGTTTTATAACGAAGGATTTTCAGGAAGATTGAAAACTGAGGTTAAAGATTAGGGCATGTCTAAAAAAATCATACGTACAGGAAATATTCAGAGAATCACATGAAACGAGTGCACAACAGACACAGACACACACACACACACACACTGCTCTTTCCTCATTTCCTTTGGAATCCAGATTTGTCTGTTTTTCTATGATGAGCTGTACTGTTTTCTGTCTTGTAAGCACATTTTATGAAGACTTGAACTCGCTCGCTCATGATCCTGAGACCAGACCCCTGACAAAGTTGATAAAAACTTAATGCTGACTTGCTTCAGTGACTTTTTTTTTTTTTTTTTTTAATTCTTTACTTATTGGCTGCCTTGCCTTTCAGGGCTGTGTATGTGCATGTACTTTTGTAGTTTTTTTTTATTTCTATTGAAGATGGCTGCCTAGCTAATCAATTTTAGCCTGAACAACAAAAAAAAGGCAAAATGTCAGTTTTGAGGATATTAAGCTCAAACATGGCATGGTATCTAACACTTTTTTTTTTTTTTAATTAAATCTTTATTTATACAGGCTTGTCCCATTGAGCCACGGGAACTCATTTACAAGAGGGACTTGTTCTAGACGGAGCATATAAAGTACAGACAACAAAACAGTGATGACAATAAACTACAGTAAAAATGCAGTTAAAATGAGATTAGTGTACAAAATAAATCAGGGTACTGTAAAACGGGGTGAAATACTAAAAAGAACATATTTGCTTAGATTTTTCTATTGACATTATCAAATGTTTGAAACCCCTTAAAGAAATCAAGCTGATCATTAGTTTATAAAACCCCCATTTCAAGTTCAAGCATCTTTTATTGTCATTCGCATCACATGTGGTACATGAGGTGGAACGAAATTATGTCCCAGATACACCCAAAAATAGCAAAGATATAAAGTATTAAAATAAACTCTATATAAGGATCTAAGGTATGCAATAAACGCTGATAATGTAAAATATGGTATATTAAACAGCAGCCCGAACATGAGTCTGTAGTGAGCAGATGGGAATGAATGATTGACTCATTCATTATTGTTTCGTAGCCCTCAATATTCATGAGTTAATTTAAATGTGCACAAGGCAATTTTGTGCCTTGTGCACATTTATAAATGTTTGTTTATTTAAAGCTATAAAATTCCCACACATTGTGGTTGGGTTGGAAAAGATGAAATGAAAGCTGTTGCTGCTCTGTAATTGATAGATAAAACAAAAACATCTACTTATTTCCTTGTTGACTGTCATTTTAACAGATGGTTCAAGTTACTGGACAAGACCGGCAAACCAGACAAAGAGCGAGGAGAGGTGCTGCTGGACATCCAGTTCATGAGGAGCAACATGACCGTCAGCATGTTTGACCTCTCCACAGCAGGAAAATCCCGCTCTCGCCTGGGCAAGATCAAGGACAAAGTTCGTGGCAAGAAAAAAGAATCGGACTCTGCCTCGGGCGTCGCGCCATCATCCCTAACTCAGGTACTGACCGACAGCGAAGAAGAGGAGGCAGCCAACAGAGATGCTGATGGAAAGGAAGCCAAGGATGGAAAATTAAAGAAGCACAAGTTGAAGTCTTTGTTCGCTCCCAAGTCCAACTTGAAGAAAAACATGTCTCAGTCCATGTCTGTTCTGCCGGGGACAAACTCCTCGCTGAGTGGCAGCCCATCAGCTCTGAATGTAGACTCCTCTGAAGGTCAGAACGTTTTTCATATGCTATTTTTTTAATTTCATTGCAGCCTTACCAATATACTCCTTTTCACTTTCAGGGAAAAAGAAGTTCAAGTTCACGCTGCATAAACGCTCCGGTAGTTCAGACGGTAAACATATCTCCGTTGGGCATCAAAAACCGGTTCCTGTGGAACAGAGCAACCTCTGCATCAACGGCAGCCATATTTACTGCGATGAACCGCCGCCTCGAACGTCTCGCACCAGCTCCAACTTCAGCCTGACCAGTTCAGGCCTCGGATCCATGGAGGATGTCCCTGAAAGCTCTCCTCCGTCTGTGGAATCACTGGAAGCAGTGAGGGAGTATTCACCCTGGATGGAGGAAGAGGAGGAGGAAGAGGAGGAGGAGGAGGAGGAAGCAGTGAATGTAAAGGAAGATCTGAATGAGTTGAGAAAGGAGGAAGAAGAAAGAAGAAAGATGGAGGATGAAGAGAGACGGAAAAAAGAGTTGGAGAAATTGGAAAACGAGAAGCTGAGACGAGAGGATGAAATGAGATTACAGGTTCAAAAGGAGGAAGAGGAAAAGAGAGAGGAAGAAAAAGAGATGCTGAGACAAGAAGAGCTGGAGAGGTTGGCTAAGGAGAAGTTAAGACGAGGGGAGGAAGAGAATCGAAAGGCTGAAGAAGAGAGGGCTAAAAGGGAGGAAGAAAAGAAAAGGGAAGAAAAGATGCTGAGACAACAAGAGTTGGAGAGATTGGCTAAGGAGAAGTTGAAACAAGAGCAAGAAGAGAGACGAAAGGCTGAAGAAGAGAGGGCTAAAAGGGAGGAAGAGGAAAGAAAAAGAGAGGAAGAGAGGCTGAGGCAACAAGAGGAGCTTGAAAGATTAGCTAATGAGAAGTTGAGACAAGAGGAAGAGGAGAGAAGGAGGGCTGAAGAGAGAATAAAAGTTCAAAGGGAGGAAGCGGAAAGAAAACAAGAGGAAGAAAAGATTGAAGAGATGAGACGACAAGAGGAGTTGGAGAGGTTGGCTAAAGAGCGGTTAAGACAAGAGGAGGAAGAGAGAAGAAAGGCTGAAGAGGAGAGAAGGAAGGAAGAGCAGAAAATATTGGCAGAAGAAAAGATGAGAGTTGAGGAAGAAGAAAAGCAAAGAGAGGAAGAGAAGGCCCTAGAGAGAAAAAAAAAGGAAGAAGAGCTTAGATTGGCTGAGGAAAAGAGACTGAAGGAAGAAAAAGAAAGAGTTAGAAGAGCAAATGAGAGGTCTGAGGAGGAGAGGAGACGAAAAGAGGAGGAGGAGGAGGAGCTTGTGAGAAAACGTGAAGAACAAAGGAAACGAAGGGAGGAAGAGGAGCAGGCTAGGAAAGAGAGGGAAGAACATGAGAAGCTGATGGAAGAAAAGATGAGACTCGAGGAAGAGAAAAGGATTGAGGCAGAAGAGAAATTTAGAAAAGAGGAAGAGGAAAGGGCAAGGATGGAGGAAGAAAAAATGCAGAGAGAGCAGGAGAGGAGGAGGAGAGAGGAAGAGATGAGACGAGAAGAGCTTGAAAAGTTGGCCAAGGAAAAACTGAGACAGGAAGAAGAAAAGAGGGAGGCTGAAGAAAGGGCTAAAAAGGAGGAAGAAGAGAGGATTCAGAAAAAGAAAAGACAAGAGGAAGAGGAGAAATTGAGAAAAGAGAAGAAAAGAAAAGAGGAGGAAGAAGAGGAGAGGCTTGGAAAGGAAAGGGAAGAAAATAAGAGACTAGAAGAGGAGTGGAGGAGACTGGATGAGCAAGAAAAGAAGAGGATGGTGGAAAAAGAAAAGGAAGAACAAGAAAAGATTAAGGCAGAGGAGAAAAAGCAAGAGGAGGAAGAAGAGAAGGCTAGAAAAGAAAAAGAACACAAGAGATTAGAGAGTAGGAGGAAACGTGAGGAACAAGAAAAGAGGAGGAAGGAAGAAGAGAGGATTAGGAGGGAGGAGATGGAAATGAAAGAAAATGAAGAAAAGCAAAAGAAAAACAAAGAACAAAAAGTTACGAAGAAAAATATCAAAATAAATCCTGCACTAATTTCCACAAATCCTTTTGATGAAGACTTTTCTCCTGAGTCGTCGTCCAGCTGCGCTCCTGAAGCTCTCAGTGAAGCTGATCAGCAAAGGTCAGTTCAGGTCAAACCTGCACCTCACAAAATATTACTCAAGTGAAAAACCAGTTAATTTCCAATCACACCAACATTTGTCTGCTTTGGATTCCTTGTTGCATTTTCCACAAATCAGCTTCATAAAGTCAAGGACACGTTTTAAAAGAAGCTAAAATCCTCAGAGTTAAAATTGAAATTATATTTATTCGTTTCACCTCAGGGTTTTTATGATTGGTAGAAGAGGTTGAAACCAAATATTTTGTATTTTCTACAAACTTTATGAATATTTGCTTTGGCCAGAATGATTTGACATGGTTTCTTTTTAGTATTAATAAGACAAGGGGTTCCCAACCATGGTCCTTGCGGAACACCATCCTGCATGTTTTAGTTGTTTCTTTGCTCCAACACCTGATTTTAATAAATGGCTTCTGCAGAGCTTGAAGTAAATCACTGATTCAGGTGTGTTGGAGCAAGAAACAAAACATGCAGAATGGTGTTCCTCAAGGACCACGGTTAGAACCACTAAATAAGACTATGTTGAGCAGTTTTATCACCATCCACAGCCTCATGAATACTTTTTTTTAATAAATTAAGATTATAGTAACTTATTTTGTCCTTGTCATCAAGCTCACTGAGTTTTTCTGAGGATCTTGTACTTCCCCATGACAATGGAGAGAGGAAATTGTGTAAAATTCTTCCTCTTTTTATTTGTTCAGATATTGCTCCAGCTCTACATCATCACATTTCCTCTTCAATTATTAATATTTTTTTGGAGCTTGGTTGATTGAACTTTACAACGTTCAGTCAGCTGCGCCTGCATAGAAACATCTCTATTACTGGTGAGATTACTGACTTGGAAAGATGGTTTTAAAAGTATATTGGTGGAAATCTCAGCACAAAATTCAAACTAAAGAAACCAAAAGGTTCAAATTGTATTTTCATGAGAAAGCAAAAGCTCTACCAAGAAAACTCCCAAGCATCGCCAGAGCATCTTGTCACTAGTGTGTGGAGCCATGCTACATATGACTTGAATTGTACGTTTACGCTACACCTGCACAACTAAATCCTAAAACTAATTAAAATGCTGCACTCATAAAAATATAGATAATACAGTGTAGACATCAGATGACAAAACTCTCAGCCCAAACCACTGAGTGATTCAGGCAGATGGATTGTTGCATATAGTTTAATGATATACTATAGTGCTAATTTCCAAAAAAAAGTGATCAAGGTTCTACACAGAAAAACTAAATCATTTTTTATTTGTTGTACAGTGGATATATTCAATCAAACTTCCAAAATCAACTACTGGGCATTTAACATTAAAATTCAATGATTAAGCTGGTTATAGCAAAGGTTAACCCCCCAAAATATAAGGATAACCTAACTTTTTATGTAAAATTGAGAATAGGTCACATCTTCAGTTGTCAAGTCAAATGTCTCAACACTTGAGCTGCTTTTTTCTTTTTTGGAGTTTGGTTTTGTCCTTTTTTATAGGATCACTTTTCTTTAAAAAAAATTCTGTACCTTGCACTTTTGGATGAATGGTATTTTGCTTCACCAAAGTTGCCAACAGGAACTCTAAATCTTGTTGCTGCCAGATTGAGAAGGCACACAGGAACATTTGTAGACATCTGTAACCCTACAAGCGTCTTTTTAAATCATTAAATATTTGTGTAAATATTTCACTATATGGTATAGCAAATTATAACAGTAAGTGCTGAGGGCGTTTAAAGACTTATAAACCGATAGTTAGTCCATCTTGGTTAAGAAGAAAGTGAAGTTGAGTTTAAAAAACCAAAAGCTGTTTCCATGCACACTTATCTGGATGCTCCTTAATATCTGTATATCAGTCTGTTTTCAGCACTTCTCTTTTAAAAGCTGCAGAAAACTCAATGTGGGCATTAGAATTGCATGGCTCTGAGCTTCTGTTGGTGTGCAAAGTGATCTGGGCTCCTTGTACAGTCACTGTATCAAGTATCACACAAATGAGTGAAAATGACTTTACACTCTTTAAATCTCAGGGGTGCTTGTATAACTTTTCATCCTTATTAACACGCTGAATATTACAGTAACTAAAGTGCTTTTTGGCACAAGTTTAGTCATGTTTTTCAGCATTCTTGCCAACAAATATTTAATAATTTAATCTGTGTGAATCTCCTGTAGCTTAATTTGTTTTCTTTCAATCTTTTGGCTTGCCTGTGCAGAATCTGTGTAATCGCTGAAGTTTACCCACACGCTTCATTTAGTCTTTCGTTTCCAGATGTCATTCGGCTGTCCCATCAGCGCCGAGCAGCGCCGCGTCGACTGATGAAAAGGACTTGATTAATGCTCAGCAGGAAAAAAGGCTGGCTCCTCAACCTCCAGGAAGGAATCAGCCCGAGAGACGGAGACACGAGGAGGAGGAGGATCTGTCTACACATCTGTCGCAAATTAACAAGCAGAGCAAAGAAAATGATGTCAGGACTGTCGGCGTTCCTCTCCAGCGCTCGGTGTCATTGATTGCTCCGCTAAGTAGACTTTCCAAAGATGTACACGATGAGACGCTGAACAGTTGCACCAAAGTATCAACCACCAAACGCCCTGCACCGTCCAGACCTTTATCTAATGAAGAGCCGTCATCCACTGACAAAACCTCTGTCAGAGCTGTGTCTAAGATGAAACCAGTCAAAACTGGTAAAACCTTAAACCCATTTGATGATGACGATGATGTAACGACCTCTACTAGTACCGGTCCATTTCCCTGGCCCCCTGCAGAACCACAAACTGTTGACAGAGATGCTGCCTCCCAAGCAAAAGTCAAATCCTCAAAGATGGCTCGCGCTCCTGCACCTCCTGCTCCGAACGGCTCCTCGTCAAGCACTTTGATCCATCAGGACGATGGGGATCCACTTAGACGTGGTCCAGGCCTAACCACGCCAATTGAAGCATGTGACCCAGATCCTCAGGGCAAGAGTTGCGTGCAGGTCCAGGAGAGTCCAGATAAAACCACTCATTCTACAAAGGTGTTGAGCACGATGGTGGCAGGTGTGAAAGAGGAGGGGCCTCCTGTAAATTCACGCAGGTAAGACGGTTTAGTTTTCAATAGGAGGTAAAAATACACTTTCATTAAACTGAATCAACCAGCTGCTAATGCCACTTTTAAGTTTTCATGTTTTTTCTTTGTGGAATCTTTAAGATTCACTTATTTTTTCTATTTTAATGTTACTGAGAGGTTGGTGTGTAATTCTATGCTGTACAAGACGAGGATTGTGTTCAGCCTAATAAGTAACTGCTCTGACTTTTCTAAAAACGCTTGGCTATTAAAATCCTGTCATTCCTTCAAGGCACACACACTGCCTGCAGCCTTCATCCCCAGTTTAGACTAAGATCTTTTTATGATGAAAAATGACGACAAGTTAAAGCCATTTTGGTTGAGCCTTATAAATGACATCTTGTGCATCATTGCAAGATGTTAGTTCTCAGATTATATGTTGAGAATGACTCTTGATATACTACCACACCAAATTTTAGGTTAAAAAAAAAAAGGGCAGCAGCCATTCTTCCATTTGTAAAGGACTGAAGTGAATTAATTGTATACTGTATATGCAATGAGTACTGAGTTTTATTGAACTCTGTCCAGTGATTCATGAGATATTTTGCTGACATGCATGTACACACACACACACAAATGGGCAATAAGCAGTTTCTTCTGTATCTGCCCCAATACCTTAAATGCTCAAGTTTGTATTTAACATTTTAATTTATCATTGCAGACTTCAAACAGTAAAACCTCTTAATACCCTGGAACAGCAGCCTGCATCCGTTCAAGAAGAAAATAAATCCACAGAACTTGACTGCAACAGAGTTCAGCACAACACAAAGGTATCTTTGTTTGAACAAAATGTCAATAAATCTACACTTTTGTTTCAGTTATCAGCGATGAACTTGTTTAAAGCGTCGTTTGATGTCTGTACGTGTTATCTCCTCCCGCAGGTTGACGCTGTGAATACAGGGCCGTATTCTCAGCTGACTCGGGAGGAACTGATCTCTTTGGTGCTGAAACAGGAGAAGCAGCTCGCCGACAGAGGCAAAAAGATATCGGAGCTGGAGCAGTACATTGATGACTTGCTTGTGCGCGTCATTGAAATGCAGCCAAGTATCCTCATGTCTATGAGTTCTCTAAAATAGGTCGTGAAAGCAAATTCCCGGCTGATACCTTATATCCCTGCTGTTGGGGTCAGATCCTTTTTATTCCTCACAGCTCCTCATGAAAACCTCGGCTTTCAAAGACTTGCTGAGCTCATTAGAACTGGAGTCTGGTTTGAGGTGGACCTCTTCAACTGAAATCAAAGCATAAAGATGAAAATAACAGTTGAAGATTGAGTTTCTTGGGATTTAATTAGAACAAATCAAGCAAATTAACATTCTCTTCATGTACGACTCTTCAAGAACCTGTATGACTTTCAGGCTTTCTTTTGGAGCATTGAGTTCTTCATATAAAGAGATTTATATTTTTTTTAATGAAAGCCTTACTTTGTCAAACTATGAATTATGAAATTTCTTGTGATCCTAAATATCAAATGCTTAAATGATTTTTGCTCGCTCCAAAACACTTTTAATTACCTTTCATCAAATAAACACTGAATTATTGTACACTACTGAAGTTACTGATTTAAATTATATTTGTTAAATAAAGTGGAAAAATAATATGCTCAGCCCTTATTTGTAATTTCTTTGATTTCCTTTCATGTTTTGTCCCTTTTGAAGTAACTAATATGACAACACATGCTTATGGTAATTCTATTGTACTATTTGACAAATTATTGAACTCAAGGTGCATAAAATGTTTAGTATTTAATTCACTTTGTCCATGCATCAAGCCACTAGTTGTAATTTTTCATATTGTAAGATTTGCTCTCAATGTGTGTTTCATTTAAGGGATAACATTTTCTCAGATTCAAAATGAAAACTCTGCTTTAGAATACATTTCCATGAATAAAATGAACATTTGTAAGCAGTTGTAGTAGAGATATGGAGAAACAAGATTTTTTTATTGCAAAACCTTGTTTTTTTTTTTTAAACAGCAAATCAAAACTAGAATAGAACTAAATAAATAGATTTCATCACTGAGCTGAAAACTTTAAAAGTTCAGCTTCAAAGTTGTAGAAAAATTGTTGATTGAACAAGTTTGCCGCCTCCTACGGTGGCCGACGGGTGCAAACATGCAGCAAACTACGGTAGCCGACAGGTGCAAACGCGACCTTTCTGGAACAGCATAGAATTTTGAGCATTTTTAGTTTTATTTTTTCGGCTCATTTGATCAAATGTTTTTATGTTGGCTTGTATTTGAGGTTTTATTTTGTGGTCAACGCTAAATGTTTCCAATGTTAACTAGAAATACATTAAGACAAATTTCTAGAAGGTGTTCGGCGTCGAGCGGAACTATCGCGATTCTCTCGTATCTACACGGACATATTTTACCTGCCCACTTGAGACTGTTTGTTGTTCAGTCAGTCTGCAGTTGCATGAAATTCAGGTGTTGTGTGTAAACGAAGTTTTTAAGCAGAATGTTTCGAGCGGGTTCGCGCTGTCCGGGCTGCGGCTCCTCCAACATTGTGGACGATGATCTGTACTCTCAGGCCCAGCTGGTGTGCACCGACTGCGGCTTCGTGGTGTCGGAGGGGGCGCTGGCCGACGATCCGTACGGAGGTTCTGGTAGGAAGACGACACGAGACTCGTCATTTTCGGTTGTCACATGTATATTTTAATTGTTATAGTAATGAATGAATATTAATTTATATTAGAAATATCTGGTTTTGGATGCTCACAGAAACGTTTGAGCTTTGGAAGAACTTTAAACTAGCTGTGTATTTAGATAAAGGATAAAAATAAATGCTCAGCCTATCATTTGAAAACAAAGCTAACAAAGTTTCTGAGCTATTTTGATAAAAGTTTTTAAAATGTTTTCAACATTTGTAGAATATGTTCAGCTCAAGATACAAGTTATTAAATACGTTTGTCATATTTATTATATTTAAATACAAATATGTAAAAGTTTGGCATATATATATATATACATACACTTTTTCTTTTTTTTTTCAAATTAAATTGTAGCTCATGTAAAGACTCCTTTAATTGCGCTTGTCCACTGTGTGTACAGTAGGGCAAAAAAGTATTTAGTCAACCACTGTGCAAGTTCTACTTCGAAAGATGAGGTCTGTATTTTTCATCATAGGTACACTTCAACTATGAGAGACAAAATGAGGGGGGAGGAACCAGGAAATTACACTGTAGGATTTTTAAAGAATTTATTTGTAAATTATGATGGAAAATAAGTATTTCGTCAGTAACAAACGGGCAATATTTCTGGCTCTGTCTAACCTGTAACTTCTTTAAGAAGCTTTTCTGTCTTCCACTCGTTACCTGTATTAATGGCACCTGTTTGACCTCGTTATCTGTATTAAAGACACCTGTCCACAGCCTCGAACCGTCAGACTCCAAACTCAATTATGGCCAAGACCAAAGAGCTGTTGAAGGACACCAGGAAGAAAATTGTAGACCTGCACCAGGCAGGGAAGAGTGAATCTACAATAGGCAAGCAGGTTGGTTTGAAGAAGTCAACTGTGGGAGCAATTGTAAGAAAATGGAAGACATACAAGGCCATTGATGATCTCCCTCTACCTGGGGCCGCACACAAGATCTCATCCTGTGGGGTCAAAATGATCATGAGAACGGTGCGCAAAAATCCCAGAACTACACGGAGGGACCTGATGAATGACCTGCAGAGAGCTGGGACCAAAGTAACAAAGGCTACCATCAGTAACGCACTACGCCAAGAGGGACGCAAAGTGCCTGCCGTGTCCCCCTGCTCAAGCCAGTACATGTCCATGCCCGTCTGAAGTTTGCCAGCGAGCGTACGGATGATCCAGAAAGGGATTAGGAGAATATAATCTGGTCAGATGAAACCAAAATGGAACTTTTTGGTTAAAAACTCAACTGTTTGCAGGAAGAAGAATGCTGAGTTTGGGGGAGTGGTGGCGCAGAGTTAAGATGGGCTTGTGATCGGAAAGTCGCATGTTCAACTCCTGGTACCGTCAACATCAAAATGTGGGTGGAAAAGGTGGAACACCCACACCTACCTCCACCCTCATTTGCCCACTCTGGGCCCCCAAGCAAGGCCCTTAACCCCCACCATCTGCTCCCTAAAACAGGTCTCTCTTGAAAATGAGTTATTGTGGCTCAATGAGACTACCTGTATAAATAAAGGGTAAATGGGGGAAAAAAAAAAAAAAAAGTTTCATCCCAAAGAACACCATACCTACTGTGAAGCATGGGGGTGGAAACATCATGCTTTGGGGCTGTTTTTGTGCAAAGGGGGCAGGACGACTGATCCGTGTTAATGATCCCAAACACGCCACTCGGGGAAACAGAGGAGTGGCTCCGTAAAAAGCATTTCAAGGTCCTGGAGTGGCCTAGCCAGCCTCCAGACCTCAACCCCGTAGAAAACGTGTGGAGGGAGTTGAAAGTTCGTGTTCACCAGTGACAGCCCCAGAACATCACTGCTTTAGAGGAGATCTGCATGGAGCAATGGGCCAAAATGGCAGCTACAGTGAGTGCAAACCTGATGAAGACTCGCAGGAAACATTTGATCTTTGACATTGCCAACAAAGGTTATGTTATAAAGTATTGAATTGAACTTTTGTTATTGACCAAATACTTTTCCACCATAATTTACAAATAAATTATTTAAAAACCCTACAATGTGATTTCCTGGACCCCCCCCCTCATATTTTGTCTCATAGTTGAAGTGTACCTATGATAAAAAATAGACCTCTCATCTTTCTAAGTAGAACTTGCACAATCAGCAGCTGACTAAATACTTTTTTGCCCCATTGTATGTTTTATAGATATATACTTGTTCTGAAATGCCCTCGCATCACAAAACTTGCAAATTTAATGTGAAACTGCTGCTTTTGCATGCTTAAAAAATGCATCTCAGATTATCAGCCTTGATTTTCATCAAGAAGATAAAAAGATGAACCCATTGGACATTTTTAGTTTTCTTTAGCTCAGTGAATCAACTGAGTGACTGTCAGATATGATCCATTCTCATCACATCCATTAGTATAACAAACATTTAAAAACTTTGGCTTAGCAGTTTTTAAATTGTGTTTAAAACATATGTACTCCATGAATTAAAACAAACATGATAATTTGATTAAATTTGTGTTGCTGTCTTCTTTTCCACAGATGTCAGTTACAGCCGAACCGCCGCTGTGACAAAACGACCGTGTATGAACCTGCTTAAAGGTGAGGTCTTACTCCAGAAGAGTTTTTACTTGGTGTCAAATGGTAACTTAAAATACATGCAGTACTGTGCACAAATCTTGGGTCAACTTAATTTATTTGAACATAATTTTGAGTACATTTTGTAGGTGGTTCTTCAAGCTTCTGAAATGCTATTTTATTTATGCTAGTCAAACTTTTTTTATTTCCTGAGATTCCATTAAAGACACAGGAACAATAGGTTCCTTCTTATGCTTGAGCAATTGAGAATGTTAATAAGAATGTATTTTGTTTATGTGGTTGATACAAGGATTTGACTAAAAAAATTGCATGAAAAACTGCAAATTCTCAAACTAAAACTTTTAAAGAGCCTGATACACAAAACTACTTTAAAATACAGGAAAATGTCTCTCTTGGTTGGAAATTTCATTAAAATATGAGGGTTGATGAACGGTTTTGCTCTGTACTAAAATTGTGTGCCTTTATTTCATGCAATCAAAGGTCTGGAGCGTGTGAAAGAAATTTCTCGGATTCTGAGGCTGCGCGGTGAAATAGAGGATCTGGCGCTTACTTATTTCAAGCAGGCCTTCGAGCACGAGAGTTTCATCAGAGTGAGCCTCCAGAAGAAAGAAGTTCTTGCCGGTTGCTGCGTGTTTGTATGCTGCAGACAGCTGAACTGGCCGATTACTATGGGAACCGTCAGCTGCCTCCTGAATGCTGACCAGACTTTGGTGGGAGGGGTTTATCAAGAGATGCTCAAAATCCTCAACATTGAGGCGCCCACCTTCAACATCACTGATGTCATAGAAAGTCATTGTCAGGAGTAAGTGATCGGAGTGTTTGAGTTTTAAAATCTGAGGATGACTTCCACAAAAACATATCTTGCATTTTTAAATCAATCAAGAGTCATTAAATCCTATTTTGATTGATCTAAATTAGAGATGGTCATTAGTTGTTGTTTTTTAATATTCCAACTACGTAGTTAAAATGGGCAAATTTGAAGATTTAACTCAATCATCATGTCGGTCTCTTTTTGAAACCTAAAAGTAAAGCACAATTGTTTCTTATTAAACATGAATGATCGGGGCTGTCAAATATAGAAAAATCTAATAATTTGAAACACACATTTGATAAGGGTTTATGCCTGAAATGCCCATCCCTAATTCAAACATTACAATTCTCATTTTCTCAAAACATTATTTTTGTTTTATTAGTAGGGCTGGACAATAATTTGATATCGATATATATCACAATATACTTTAATTCATTAACGGTGATATGAGTTTTAAGCACATTTTCGATATTTCAGTATACATTACGCTGTGATTACATCGTTTCACTGACACATTTCTTTTTCTGTTCGGGTTCAACCCAAACAGAAAAAGCCTCGACACAGCTACGCAAGTGTGTGGTGACGCACACCACACACAGAGTTGAAGTCCAGAAGGAGTCAGCGGTAGCAGGCTAGGCTAAGCTCCAATGCGCGTTAAGTTTTTGCTTCAAAATGAGTGCCCGTGACCGTCAGAATGTGACTGAACAAGCGTTCACAAGTGAAGAGAAAGCAGATGACATAATTGATAAGAGTGGAAAGACTAATTTGGCGGCGTGGAAGTGGTTCGGCTATCTAAGAACCATAAACTGCAGGTTTCAGTGTTTCAAAATGTGACGGAGAGTCGTTCAAACTAGCGGTGGGAACACGTCGAACTTGTTCCAGTTGAAGAGTTTCCACTTGATAGAATATGCTGAGTCAGAAGATGAAGCACAATAAAAGTTTGAGCCAACGTGTCCCTGAAACAACACCCCCAGCTGTATCAAAAGAGAAACGCATGCATTAGGTTATGTTGTTTAAAGTTAAAACTATTAATATTGACAAAGTTGAATTTTATGTTTAATTGACCGTGATTTCAAATTTCTTTTGAAGGCTAAATACAAATAAACGGTGAACATTAATTTATTTGTACAGTTTGTACAATTTTTCTGAGGCTTTAATATTGTTTATATCAATATTGGAATAATATTGTTATTAACCGAAATTAAGAAATATATCGTGATATATTTTGGCCATATCGTCCAGCCCTATTTATTGGTCATTTTAAGTTACTGTAAGCCTCAAGCCAACATACATTTATATATTTAGTCATTGATGGAAATGGTTGTCAGGAAGAATTGAAATGTATTTTTCCTTTTATTCACGTTTGATTCTGTTTAGCCTGACGTGCTGTTTTGAACTTGGATCAGCATAGTCTCCTTAGTCATTTGAGGTTGATTATGTCTTCTCTTTGAGCTTCTTGGTAGAATATAAAACTATCGGGGCTCTAAATGATTCATAGCTGGTTTTAAAATTTTCATTATTTGTCAAAAGGCTTGCAGACTTGTTTTTAAATCAAAGGCTTACTGACGATCTTTTTGTTTTCACAGTTACAAAATAAGCTCCTCTGACGTTCCAGAAGAATTTGCTGAGGACTCTAAGGCTTTGACGAAACGATCCTTGGCGCTGGTGGAGCTGGCAGGAGATTCCTGGATTGTTACTGGTCGGAAACCCTTGCCGATCATGATGGCAACAGTATATTTGGGCTGGCAGTCCTTAAAACCCAACAAGCTTCGTCTGAGTTTCTCCCTGGACAAATTCTGTCAGTTAGCCAAAGTGCAAAAGCACAAATCTGCTATGACTAGAATATCAGAGTTGAAGGAGGCGCTGTGTAAGCTGGGAAAGGAAATCCCCTGGGTTGGGGAAACTGTGAAGCCAGGTAATGTGGTTCAGCATGTGGGTGATATTCTGGAGCACAGGTACGTCCTGCTCAGGAAGGCTCTGAGGACCTACGAGGATGCGATGCAGGCTGAGTGTCAGAGCAGCTCTTCACACCCTCCAACAGGAGAAATGGTTTCCTCTCAAATCTCTGAGTGCGGAGGTCAGACTACTCCTGCTTCCTCTGTGGAGCAGCCGCATTCGAGTAATGACGGAGAAAAGCATGCAGTGGACGGAGACGGTCAAAAGTCCAAACCAAACTGGGGTAAAAGTGTACTGTTCGCCCCACCATGTGTGATTCATGCTAAGAAAAGGAGAGTGGAGCAGCCGATGCTGGATGTAACTGGCGACGAGGAAATCTCTGACAGTGAAATTGATTTGTACATCCGCACCCCGCAGGAAGTACGAGAATTCACACAGATGCAGAAAATACTGGCGTCGTCCAACAGTGGGAAGTAACAATGAAAGGGTAATACTTATGTCTTTAGGCACTGGTTAAACATTTGTTAAAGCTTACTTGTGCTTTTTGCAGTAAAAAATATTGTATTTTGTTACGTTGGGTTTTGTTTGGTGATGGCAATTTTTAAAGCATTGTCCCCCCAGTTAGAATAAACATGGTGTTTTGTTTACCTATACATGACTCAAAGCGTTCCTATTTTAAATCTTGTTATACGGAAACAGTTTTTATTTTTAATTCATATCACTAAGTGCATGTCCAGTTCATTGTAATTTCAGCTTTGCAGAGCTATCAGTCTTTTTTTCCTGTTTCTAATCTGTGCTTGGATAGAGCTGCCTACATTAAGATTCTGTTTTCTTCCTGTTTATAAATTTAGCATTTCAGATTTTGCAGTTCTATTTGAAGTTATTCATATTTTAATTCGCCACCACAGAAGTTAGTCATGCTAGAAGCATTTTGTGTATCCACCCACTGTAGATTTATCCCAACATCAACACGGTGTCATTATGACTAGAGGCATTCCAATGAATGTTTTCTGAAAGTTTTCTTTAAACCCATTCAGTGGTTCATAAAAACATTTTGCCCACAGAGTTAACTCCTATCGAAGTGTACGCTCTCCATTTTCCCTGTAGCTAGACCGTTTTAAATGTATAATTTATCCTTTTGCTAAATATAAACCAGTTGACTGATTTTATTGAAACCACAAAAAGTCATAGATCATTTACAGCTGATAAATATTTAAAATCAACTTAATTCAAGATGACTGACACAGCTAATTGACCTTTATTTAACACAAAAATGGCTGTAACTGCCATTTTGACAGATATCGAGCTAATATTTGGAGCGGTGGTTGCTGAAAGTCGTCCACATACAAGCGCTAACAAACGGCAAGATCATTTAAAACTATGGTTTACAAAGTGGCAGATGATGTTTTCTTTCAAGAAATGCTGGATTCATTCCTGAAAGTGAATTCAAGCGGAGAGAACAACTTCACAGAGTTGAGTGGCGACTGGTATTCCCAATAAAATCAACTGTAAAGTAAAAATTTAAAGTCAACATTTGTTGGATGCAAATTACCTAAAAAAAAAATTTAAATTGCACATGGTTCATACGCCTTCTGAAATCCTGCTGTGGCTTTTTGTTTTGGTGTGCCGCCCCATGAACAATGGTGATCCCCTTCTGGCCGCCCCTTTGAAAACCTTTTGCTGCGATTTCTCACTTGTTCAGAAGAAATCTGAGGGTATCAAACAAATTAACAAAATATCGCTCCTATTTTCCACAGTGCCCAAGTGTGAATGCTAGAATGAACCCCATCCATCTGCAGAGCGATCGTAAGCAAGCACCAGACGTTGCTGACGTGATTAACGAGATCAATAAATTATCACATTTCAGCGTTCTGAATCAGTAATCATGCAAACACTTTTCATTTCCTCATATTTTTATCAGTAAATTTTGCTTTTCTGATCATAACACACATCTGAAACAGGTCGTATCAGATCTGTGGCTTTATTTACACACTGTATTCCATGCAACATAGAATTCCACATTTTTTACATAAACCGTTACATTAAATAGCAAATGTAATTAAACAATGGGGCAGATCCAAAACTGATCCTCACAAAGTCTCCAAATGGTTTGCATCTCCAGTGGAGTCATTTGTATTTGATATCTCTTTCAACATGTTGCCATTTTATTACAGCTGCAGAGGTTAATCTTTGCAGGAGATGAATTAGCAATAACATGACGGATAAAAGGTAAGCACAATAATGAAACTAGACAGTTCTTACAACCAGGCAGCACATCTTGTCAGCTTTCAGAAGCACAAATAAAAACAAAAAAAAAATCTAGATAATTATTAATGCCAGGTGAATTAACCTTGTGAGTTATGCACCAGCTCCTCCAAAAACACAAAACGCACAGCATGAACATAACGGAGCCAACAACATAGTGATGGTTGAGATTTTTTTAGTAGCCAATTAAATAAATATGCTATCAGAAACAATTTGATGGTTTATATGTTTGTGTCGTCTGTTACTGGCATAAAGAAAATGAAAGCCTCGACGTGACGGCTTCATACAATTCACTTCACGCTGCTCTACAAAGGACAACAATCACATCTGGCATGATGCTGGAAACGATCACAATTTGCAGTGACCATTTCCAAATACAATTTAAACTGATGGTTTAATTTGCGCTTCGTATCCTGTACAGCTACTCCTTTTCACCAAACACAACCTTATCTGGCTCCTTACTGGTACTTTTAGATTTAGAAATGACATTCAGCAGTGCGCATCTTTTTTAAACCATTCCTAAAAAAATAACATAATGCCCATATTCGTTGCGTACATTTATGTCCTCATGCATAAGATAAGATAGAACTTTATTGATCCCTCAGGAAATTGAGTTGATAGTCATCATCTGTCTTTTCTACAGTATTATCACCATGTCAACTTTAAAATATTTCTGAATCAATGTAGCTTTGATATTTACTTCAAAAACTGACTTCTCATGTAAATTAACTTGACAGTTTAAACCCTTAGGAAATGAATTTATTATAGATTTGGATATAATTATGACCCACAGAAGATGAACACGGCTGATTGTCTAATGGGCGGATGCAGCTCCTCAGACTGAAGAAGTATTTTGGATAAAAGATGAAACATTTCAACAAAGGAGAATTTGTCCAGAGGACCTGATTAAGTTTCTTTAGGACTATTTGTTTTAAATTGCTATTTTATTGCTGAAAGAGCTCGTTCAGATCTATTAAAGTAAGGTGCTGTAGAACATTTATGAACAAATATCTGTTGTAGATTGCTTTTTGAACAACCTCAGTTGGGGCAAAAATATGTATTGTAATCTGATTGACCAGTGCACGGCTAATCCAAGCAGTGAAGTGGATTGCTGGCATCTTAAAACCACACCAATTACAGGCATTCCTTAATTGTTCACACTATTTCACAAACATGTACCTTTATCAGTTTTTAAATACCTTTTTTTTTTTTTTTTAACAGAAGTGCTGCAAAACTTATCCAAATGGGTACAGCTAGCTGCTGCTGCTAGTTGTGCTACAGAATTGCATGTAACTAACCATGGTGACAATTAGTGGTGAAGTAAGGATTTATAAAAAGTGTTTGCTTAGAAATATTTAAGATGACATAGTCTACTTTAGTCAGGCTATGCTCAGACTAGCCATCAGCCGCCAATAAATCTGGTAATAATCAAACTATTCCTTCAAACTGAAGCCATTTAGAGCATCATCTACAGCAGGTAATATGTTTATTGGTTATGACCTCTCCACAGAGCTCCACTTCATCGCTTTAAAGTATCACAACTTGAAACGACGAGGTATGAACTGGTTCCAGGAATCTTCTGCCTGAAAGAAAAACACAAGTGCCAAAAGTAGGACTGTGCTGTATCTCTCGTGGTTTCTGACTTTTTGTTTAGAGCCCCAAACGTAACAAGCAAAATATTTCACCAGAGACTTTGTTGTGTTGACGAAAACATGATTGAAAGCTTTAAAAAGAAATGTCAAGGCCAACGTCCTCCTGTGAGCACCACATATCATTTTGGTTACAACTGTCGAAATGTATGTCAGTTCCTGCAGGAGCATCCAGACAGACCAGGCCCCTCATCATCAGAACACGTTTTTATGTGTGTGTTTCTAACAGCACAACTGAATGTGGTGACCAACACTTTCATCTGCAGAAAATGAATAAGCACGTTGCTACACTTTACCCAGAGAGTTGATTATAAAACCACGCCTGCTGCACAGTGACTGACTGGGACGCCGATGCGACGATGGCACTTTAGCATCTTTCTTAGCTCGGAGCGAAAGCGGTCGTGCAGCCATGCATAGAGAAAAGGGTTGCAACAAGACGAGCTCATGGCACACAGGTGGCACAACAGCTGGATGAGTAAAAAGTAGCGCTTGTTGATCAGGTGGATGTCAATGTCTCTGAGCACGTTGAACACGTGAATAGGAAGCCAGCAGACTGCAAAGGCGGACACCAGAAGTGCAACCAAGCGAAAGATCTTCCTCTTCCGGGCTTGGTGGATGCCCACCTGGTCTTGCGTCCTGTTGCCAGGGGCAACACATTTCCTCAGTTTGACAGTGATGCAGAGATAAGAAACAAAGACAGCCGACAGCGGAAGAACATAAGTGATCAACAAGGTGCTGTATGCGTAAGCCCGTCTTTCTTTCTCCTGACCCAACCAGAACTCTTCGCAGATGGTGAAGCCTTCCTCCTTGAACTCGACATGGTAGGTGTGGGTCACCGCTGGAGCCACCAAGCCACAAGACACCAGCCAGATTCCAGTGAGGACGTAGGCACAGGTCGACACCGTGGTCCGCTTCTTCAGTGGGTGAACAGTTGCATAATATCTGCAATAAAGTGAGATTAGAGATTAATAAAGGCACCAAATATAAGTTTATGGCTGTTTGTTCAATAGGACTTCACAATATATTGAAATTTTATCATCATCCCCATGTCACTGCCCAATATCAGTTTCACAAAAAGCTGTTTAGACTGATAAGCTATTAGCTGCTATATTCCAAATACCATCCATACTTTATATTTCAGTAATCCTATGAGCTCTCATGGGTCTTGATGCCCACACCCAACTTAGATTATAATTGCCAAGATACTAAAACGAGTGTTGTGTCATGATAACAGAAGAGAGGAGTGAGAAAAATGTGGGTTTAGTGCAGTTAATATTATCACAATAGTTAACGTTATTACAGTCACATGTTTTCCCTGTTTTTTATTGTATAGAGGATTTACAGCAATGCTACTTCAGTATGGCAACTGACTGTTGTAGCAATCATTGGGAATGTTTACTAGTTGTGAAAAAACCTCTCATGGCATTAACAAAAAATGAAAACACAATAATTTGCTGTGTTGTTGTTCAATGTTGTTCAAACAGAAAAGATTACCAGTAGTCACTTTTCCAAATAATCACGGCCCATGAGACGAGAGAACTGCAGTTTTAACGTACTACAAGTATTATGGTCACACAAATAGTCTCCGTTTTAAATTGGGTAAGTTTTACTAATTGAACAATGTAAACATATATAAGTATCAGTTTTTCTTAAATTTTCTTGCCTTCTTGTGTGTGTTTGTCTATATGTTTGAAGGGGTTGGTGGGGGATGTTTAGTATTAGCATTAAGGTTTTATGGTTGATTAGGTAATTATATATATATATATATATATATATATATATACCGCAGTCCAGCAAATTTGTGATGCAACAGTTTTAAGAAGTTTTCTGTTCAACCTGACTTTTCCTTCTCTTTTCCATATTCTAGCTAGCCTTAGGTACTTTTAGCTAGAGTATAGCCTTCTGCTTCCTTTAGCTTTTAGCAAATGTTTTGCGACTTTTTGCTAACTTTTTGTTATCTTTAGCTCTTAGCAAGCATTCTGCTTCTTTTCGCTTTAGCAACTCAGTTTCAGCTTTTTCAACAATCAGAATTCATAACGGGAGTTATTTCACTGTTTTTTTAAATATTTTTTTTATTGTGTATTTAGTTTAGCTGTCTTGTTCTATTCTATTATATTATGTTGTGTGACTCCTCAGGATCTATAATTCATAATTTAATGCCAACTTGAACTCCGTAGCACAATTACTGAAAGATGAAATTTCCTGCACAGGTGGTTAGTTAACATAAAAATGTTAAATGAGTGAATTAGCTCCAAAGCATGCATTCATTGAAGTATGGCGTGCTTTTCAATAGGCCTATCAAATCTGTGCAGAGCCAACTCTCTGACCTGTCTGGTCTAATTGGGGAAAAATCAGGCTAATCAGTGATATTTTAACTTCAAAGACTGAACAGGTGCGTCCCAAAATGGGAGGTGTAGCTTTTAACTGGTGCTTAAAAGTGTTAATTGATGTATTCCCCTCTGAAAGGGGATATGTTGTTTTTTGCACGTACAGAGAAAGGCTTTACTGTGGATGATTGAATTTGTTTTGCTCTGGTCTAAAGGGATGCAGGTCTTTAAAAGACAAACCAGTTCATTTGTTTTAACTGTTTGCATGAGTGTACCAGAATAATCAGATTTAGAGCTGATTCCAAAAATTGGAATGATACCACTGCACTGTTTGCGTAAAGTTAACATTGTTTTGGCTTGCTTGCTGAATAATACTGGGTGATTTCGTATAAATCAACAAAGCCTTGATTGTTGATAGGGAGAGTATTTCTTTTTTACGTCTTGAAATATATGTATGCACCAATCAATAGCTCACTTCATTTGCCTAATTTTTTAATGAGTGCAAAGAATTAGTCATGATTACGTTTGTTAGTTAATGAATTCTTGCCTCCGCAATTTCATTCCACTCAAATTTAGAGGGGTGTCTGTTGTAGGCCAGGAATTCATTTTCATGGCAGTTCAATTTATTCATCTAGTTTTGAAACTGAGAGTCCATTTTCCGGGTAATGATTTTGATTCCTGCTATAATGCCAAGAAAACTAAATCAGTTGCAAATGTACCGTATTTTCCAGTGTTTATGTCGCACCTTTTTGCCTAATTTGCATACCCTGCGACTTATAGGCGGAAGCGACTTATTTATGTTATTTTTTTTTTCATATTTATAACCCAATTTTTGACTGAGATATGACCGTTTTCATTCATTCTGACATGGAAAATATTGAACACTACCATTTTCAGCCACTAGATGGCAATAGAGTAGTATGGCATGCCGTTGTGTCATGTAATAGGTAAAAGTGGCTATTAATGACACAATCAACTTGCCATATCCTGCTACTTTTATCCAGCTCCGGGATCATGCCTGGAGCAACCGTTAAATCAGCTTCATTTTGCTGCGCCGCCCCGGTGAAATGCAGCTAATTTGACTATTCAAGTGCATTTATTAAGTAAAAGTTCAACTAAGACACACCTTTATTATAATTTTGAGCAAACAAATAATTGTTTTAGGTGCTTATTTTGTTAAGTTCTGAAGAAATGCGCAGCGTTTCTCTTTCCTGATTTCCTCCCTTTGCGCACTCCCAGAGCACCAAGGCAGCGAATACTTTTGAAATGCAGCTGATTTGACCATTAAAGTGCATTTATTAAGGAAACATTAAACTAAGACACACCTTTGCTATAATTTCGAGCAAACACATTGTTGTTTTAAGTGTAAATCTTGTTAAAGTCCTCCCGTGCACGCTCCCGCGGCTGCCATTTGGCAGCCAATCGATTTTTGACACAATACCGGCCCACATTTCCGGGTTGTCAGCGATGATGCATAATAGATGTGACGTATACGGCAAAGCGACTTATTTATGTTTTTTTCACACTTTATTAGACATACTGTATTTGGACTGATGCAACTTATACAGCGGTGCGACGTGTACGGCGGAAAATACGGTACATGCATGTTTCATTAAAGTCTTTCCAGAGGTTCACAAGATATTTTGCTAACAGACATACAAATAACACATACGCTAACACAGGGAATTACATTATTTCCCACCTTTTGGTGACATTTGATGCAACATGCGTGTGGAGGTAGTCTACCCACCTGTCAACAGCAATGGCAGTGAGGGTAAAGACTGAAACATATACTGTGACAGGTTGGATCAGGAACACCAGGTAGCACATGGAACGACCAAAAACCCAACCATGCGGGTTGAAGGCATAGGCGAGGGTGAAGGGGACACATGTCACACACATGAGCATGTCTGAAAAGGCCAGGTTCCCAATGAAAAAGTTGGTGACGTTGTGCATCTTGCGTGTTCGACAGATGACGTAGAGCAGCAGGTAGTTCCCAATGACGCCTACCACCACCACCAGCACGTAGCAAGGGATGATGAGTGGCTTGAAAGTCTGCAGCAGGGCCACGTCTGCAAACTGGGAGCTGCGGTTGGTGGAGTTGTTCTGCACGACGACCTCGTAAACGTGCCCGTCAGCCTGCGGTGGTGGCTCGCTTCCAGCCGAGCCACTGTGATTGCCTTCCATGGGATCGGAGCTCAATCTGTCAATACTGCGCTGCACGGAATATGCAGAGAAGCAGGTTTACAGCTGTCAGAACATTAACAACCTCCCTAAAGGTCAGATTATCAAGGACATAAAGATTCTAATCATCGTGTAAATGAAAAAGTTCATGACATTTTTAGAGCTGAAGACTGTCAGTGAACAGGCATGCTTTTACAAACACCAACACATTGACGCAGTGAGAGGCAAAGAGCAGAGTGCAGTGAAAGTGATCATTATAAAAAGCATTAGATTATAAACAGGCAGAACATCCTATATCCACTAATAAAATTAGCATTTGAGAAATGCCATTTCACAAGGTTGTGTCTTGATTTACATGTTGAGGGATTGTAAATCAGCAAACTGTTTGGCACTTTTAGCATCTGCAGAATCACTCGCTATGGCTCAGGTCCATAATATTTAGACATTTTGCCAGATTTATTCATATGTTTTACACCAAGGCTACTTATTATCATATTGATTGATGAGTCTAAATAATGGAGGGAATTATATGATGTTTAAAGTTTATATAAAAAATTAGAACATTAAAAATATATGATAGCTACCTAGCTCATGGCTTTTTTCTAAGCTAAATTAAATCACATCCAGGTGAGTTCATGCTGGATAATCATTCATCCCTGTCTCCAAATAAGGCTCTATTCTGACTAAAACTTAAAATTATCATTCTTTGAAGGAATATATCACCTACTGCTTTGCCTGCTGAAGTTTTAAACAAAGATCTCAGATGATATAGCTCTTGCTTTTGTTGGAGTTGAATATCTACTATTACCACAACACATTTAAGCTCAGTGTCTGTAATACAGCATTTTTGTGTTTATTAAGGTCACTTGGCTACTTTAATGTGATCATCTTGAATCAGGTTGACTCCAAAAGTTATTCATGTGTAGATGTACATCCAGTGTTTACTTTCTGAAAATGTGATTAACTTCCACCTACTGATTCACAATTTTTTTGACAGGCAAAGAAATAAAAACATGACAGATTACGATTGTACACCTTTTATGGCAGCAGACAATAAAAATAAAAAAATACTAAAACTATGTATCATGGTAAGTTATGCCAGAGGCTGTCTGACAAAACCGTTGGCTGATTTTCTTATTGCCATCTAAACTCTAGCAGTTTGAGGTCCCTCAAGGCTCTGTTTTAGGATTTCCCCTTTTTATGATTTACATGAAAAATGTAGGCTACAATTCTATTGATCTATTTTCTGTTAATGTCACAGGTGTTTGCTTTTCCTCTGCTCTTTGGCTACCTACAGTTTGCATTTCACATAACTCATTTGTTTCCTTTCAAACACTAAATGTGACAAACCTAAAGGTATGATGTTTCCCAACAAGAAATCCCAGCATCTCCTTACTTTTTAATCTACAAATACACAAGGTGCTCCTGCTAATTATCTTAATATTATAATTAAGGAAAATTGGTTATCTAAGTCAGGCAGCACGGTGGCGCAACTGGTAGAGCTGCTGCCTCTCAGCGAGCAGGTCCTTGGTTCAAACCCCGGTCCAGGGGCCTTTCTGGGTGGAGTTTGCATGTTCTCTCCGTGCATGCGTGGTTTTCTCCGGGTACTCCGGTTTCCTCCCACAGACCAAAAACATGCATGTTAGGCTGACTGGTAACTCTAAATTGTCCCTAGGTGTGAGTGAGAGAGTGAATGATTGTTTGTCTTGTTTGTCTCTATGTGTCCCTGTGATGGACTTGCGACCCGTCCAGGGTGTACCCCGCCCCTCGCACAGTGATTGCTGGACATGGGCACCAGCGACCCCCGTGACCCAAAATGGAATAAACGGGTAAAGATAATGGATGGATGGGTTATCTAAGTCTTATATTGAACAGCTTTGGAAAAATGAAAATAAAACTAATGTTTATTTACACAAATGAGTCCTATTTTACATTCAAAGTATGGAAATGGCTTGTTGCTGTCACCTACTTCTCTCACATTCTGGTGATTTAATACTCAATATACCTGAATGGACCAGTTAGCTACAGTATACTGTATATATATGTTTTTATACTGTCTATCCATAACAGGATGCAAACTGTACTCCCAAGTTTACTAGCCATCAATGTCCATAGCAACCATGTCCAGGTCCAGATGACCTGACTGAACATTGTTAGATTTGATACCTGGATTATTGAGCATGGACTTTGGTGTCCATACCAACATTTTTCATTTGTTTTTATCTATACTGTACCTTCTGCCAACACATTTATCTTTCTATATGTTACATTAAATACAACAAAAAAGCTACAGCCTACTCTCACATTCCTTTAAATTTTCTCAGTGGAGAGGGGAAAAAGATACATTCGTAGTCTGCCTCTTCCTGCTGACTAACAGGACCTGAAACTGTCCAGCTTCATTCCAGTCCAGGATTTTTAACAATTTCAATTTGTTCTTGACAAATTGACAAAGACAAATGAAGTATTCAGCCCATGCACTCTCATTTCACCAGTTTGAGAAGGTCTCTCCACTGAGCGGGCCAAGCTTGGCAACCTTTGGAAAAATGGCGCTGAGTTGTGTTTTCTCAATAACAATGAACCAGGTTGATTTTTTTTTAATACATTTTCTGCCAAAAGTCTCTTCTTGCATCCACCTTACAAATAAATTATAAAGCAAATAAAAAACATTTTTTCGAAGCAAAATCCTATGCAACAAGTTCAATATATTGAAAAAGTCTAGAAGGCATTCCTGTGACATTCATAACTCTGCTGAGCAACATTTAATGGAAGAGTATTATAAATGTTTAGGTGTGTGTCACTGAAAGAAACCTGCCTTTCAGTGAGTGAAGGAAAGTGTGGAAGCTTTCAGAGTGCAGAGGCTGCACACTTACATCCTCTGGTAGAGAGGACTCTCCCTCTTCAAGTACGTAAGGACAGGATTCAGTAACATTGGAATGGAAACACAGACATTAAATATCCTTTTTAGGCTTTGCGATAAAGAAAACTTCTTTTTATTTACAATAAGTCAAGAAGAAAGTCTCAGCATGTAGATTCCAAATGCTTTGCATGTTTTGCAAGTTGAAAATGAAACATAAGACCTTTCAAATGGCAGCACATATTAATGTTTTTTTGTGCCAGTTCAACCTGTAAAGTGATGGTTTGTAAGGTTTTTGTCATTATTTGTGGTTACAGTCTTGTGTTTTGCACATCATCACAGTTTGTTGCATGGCATAGTTTACAGCTACAGCACAGGCAATGGCTCTTTATGGCTCTCTATCACACACACGCACACATTCCACTGCTAATTAATATAATTTGCAAAGTGCTCAGAAACAAAAGAGGGGAGTTAATATTTTGCTACTGTTAATGCAAAAACCTCTCACTTCTTACAGGTAATTATTCTATTAATGAAAAGTGGTGTACAGGGATTTACAGTTAACTCTGTGGGACTGTGCTGTGGAAAGTTGTAGTTAGGCGAGTTTTTTACGCAGTGCAGTAAAATCTGACTGAAAAACACCAAGAATCTAATTTATCTGACATGTGCATTGTTACATATATTCATACTTAGAGAAGGTCATTGTTTTTGTTACATGCTCACGAAGTGGACACCAACGGTGCCAATATGAAGAACCGACCAAGGTCACTTTATTTACGAGCAAAACAGTCCTGTGCTTTGAAAGATAAAATGTTCAGGGGCGATGTTCTCAAAGTGACCTTCCCATATTGTAACTGAGCATCAGAAGCTTATTTCAATTAAACCTAAATGTAAAGTGAAAGCAGTTTTTAAAAAGTCCAAGAAAAGTGCTCAAACAGTCAAAAGCTTATTAGAACTGTGTTTTAGTGTGCCTGGCAGGAAGTGGAGGTCATCTCAAGTGTTTTAGAAAAGCTTGAAAAGATGGCCCCCGTTCAGTTATCTCAGACTGACTGTGGTATTAAAATCAGTGGGGACAATCAATGAGCAGCTTTTTTTAAAGCAGTTTTTGTATTTTTGGGCACATTTAAAGTGAAGTAAGGTCACTTCAGCAGGGTTCCATTGATTGCTGCGCGCCGTGAGTTGTTGAGTAGATTTTATCAAAATTCAGAGGAGGACATGATGTTTCAGTCAGGAGCTACACTCAGCATTACTTTCTGACCACTGCCTGCCTTCAGCCTGACCCGCGTCTTTACACATCTGCAGAAGAGCCTGCGTGGAAACCTCCACATGCTGCAGGATTCTTCCAAAGAAAGACTTTTGTGTTGCCGTATGAGCTCCTAATGATTTTATAAACCCTCTTTGAAAAGTGGAGTATTTCTTCACCATATATATATATAGCTACAAATTAAATTGTTTTTTTTTTACTCCACAAAATATAAAAAAATCACTGATGTGTATTTGCAAATAAGGAAAAAGCTAAAAAAAAAAAAAAATTCATTTAAATGCAACATATACAATTATGAAGGACTCGTCTTTACAATAATTCTTTACACACGTTTTTTTTTTTAAATAGCATTGTAAACATTAAACAAATATAGTTTTTTGTATTGTAATTTATGCCCTTGCACTGGATTTGTTCATGATCCATCACTGGAAAAGTACTTGAATCCAATTGAAAATGTGTAAATCTGCCTAATTTATATTTATGGATTCTGGTTGAGGTGTGGATATCAGCCACTGAATTCTAAAGTTTATCATAAAAACCTCTGCTGCTATTTAAACTGTAAACTTTATTCCAATATTTAGATCCATATGCATTCATTTATACAACAGAGAAATGACAACAAATCTGCATGCATCTCCAATAAGTTCCATCATGACAATAGATGAGTGAAAACATGCTCTGCTCTCTTGTCTCTTGCTTTCTTGTTTATGAAAGGATAAAATCATGCAACTTACCTGTTTGTTTTTTTCCTTCTGTGCAATGATGAGTTGAGCATGTGCAGAGTGCACACAGACCTTCACGTTGTGCTGCTTCACAGTGAGCGAGCTGAAGCTGCTGCTGTTTTAAACAGAGTGAACGAAGGACGGGTGGGGGAGTCATGCAGAG